AGTTCTATATAGTTAAAATACAGGGTGATTCAAAAAGAATAATCCGATTTCAAAGCCCCATATTTTTCCAACCATGATGCGTCTAGGAACCAATCACATATGAATTGATAGAGGGGGGTCATAGAGTTTCTGACTGTCAGTATGGCAGTGAACCTCCAACAGCTCAGAGCATTCGTTGTTGGCACCAACAGTTCCAAGAAAAAGGTCACCGGCATCACCGGATCTCACGCTGTGTGACTTTTTGTTGTGGGGGTACGTAAAGGATTCTGTTTATGTGCCACTCCCAGCGACACTGGATAATCTCTGAAATTGCATTGAAAGAGCCATGAGGACAGCGACACCAACATGCTCAATCGAGTGTGGGATGAATTTGACTATGGCGTTGATGTTGTCTGTACAGCTGGAGGAGGTTCATATTGAGCACTTATAAATTGACATAATAAACTTTATGCTCACTTACACCATTTACAGTTTACTGCATTGTTCTGTAATGATTCACAACTGAAATAAATCATTTTGAAATCAGATGAATCTTTTTGAATCACCCTGTATGTTGAATGTTAAAATATGTACATTATCAGGAAGTCAGTTTATACTGACATTATCACTGTTCTAGTGGGTAAACAACTTCTGAGTACATATAAGTTGTGATTACATATAAGCAAAAAAAGAATAGATAGTACAGCATCTTCTTGAAGAACTACAATATTTGATGTATGCTTAGTAGAATATTATATTAAAAATGATGTAAGTGAAGAAAATACAGAACATGAGAGAAGTGCTTTCAATTGTTTTGAGAAGTGTTTCATCTTAAAGAGTCTTAAAGGAGTTTCTTACCTGATACTGATGGAGATTTTGCCCTGTTAGTCTCTATGTGTCTCCTGCAGTTTATGTTCTGCGTGATAACTAAACACGGTGCAGCTCTATATTTGTCTTTGCTTCTTTTTAATGCTCATTTACATAAAGTTCCAAAGGGCAAATGCAAAAGAACAAGCAGCAGACTAATACACAAAATGAAAGACACCTTTCATCAGGTCATTTTCCACTTTCCATTGGTATACCAACCTTGTATATACCTCACCCATTTTATCAGGTCCATATTTGAACTTTGTAGTTCTACAATTACAGACTGTATTCCATCTGTTTCTCTGCATACTTTGTTAGCCATGGTATTCATGGTTCTTCAGTGGTCAGGACCCCACAGGACCACCACAGAGCAGATATTATTTAGGTGATGACTCTGACGTTGTGGTGGCATCTTATTTCGTTGTGCTGGTACAAGTGGATGAGACGCTGCAGTGCTGCTAGAGGTTTTAAACACCTCAGTGTAGTTATCAGGTGTACTGGCAGGAATGACTGGTTGAAAGGCCCCTAAGCTGCCACCTGGTGGAGCCTCATGGTTTTACAGGGCCTCATCCAGCCAGTGGTGTATCCAGAATTTTAAACACAGGGTGGCACCTGGGGGCAAGAACATACAGAGGGGTGGCACAACTTAAAATACCTGATATGTACTTTGGTGCAAGAAGAATGGCTACGTAATGATATCACTGTATTGGCTTCATATGCGCTCTATAAACTGCAACTGAATATGATCCAGACAACTGGATACAGACTACTGTAAACTATCAAAATCACAACGTGTCTTCATACAGTTGTTTGTTGAGCAGCAGATTCTGTTCTTCCAGCAGTTCTGAACTACAGTTCGCAGTGTGCAATACAGAAAAAAGTCTCTCCCTGCATATCAACCTCTTTTACCTCCACTTCATCCTTTTTTCTGCCCACTAGGTCTGGATCCTTCGGTCTCAGCCTTTTTTCTGTTCCTCTTTTAGAAAGAAACTAAGAATGTTTTGCTCTTGATTCAGTGAAACCCTGGGCTACTGAAAGGGTCATTGGGTGTAGTTGGTACAGCTGTAATAGCTGCATTAGAATTGCCATGGTGTGTCAGGTCATTTAAAGCTCAGTCATAAGATTTTTCAGGACAAATCTTCTCAGTGTGATAAACTCTCCCTAGAAAGCTCTGGCAGGTCAGTGAAAAGCTGATCAGAATGTACAGGTTCAGCATGCACAGCCACTGCACTGTCTAGATCAGGGATATTTGATGAGGTCAGGGGTGGTTAGGAGAGATCAGGGGTAGTCTAGTAGGATGTATTCTAGATCGGTCTATGCATCTCCTAATCAGGTTGTGCACTGTCTTCACCTGGTCTTCTATACAGTTCTGCATCTTGAAGGTATGACTTCATCATTCTTGTCAGCAACTACATAGATGGTATTCTCCCATTGATCAGCCAGCTCCCTCTTGCTGTGTTCCCCTTCGTTGGCCACCAAAACATGATCACCATTCTACTGTGATGATGATGATGATGATGATGATTATTATTATTGTTAGTAGTAGTAGTATTTTTATGCAATAATCAAAGCATATGCTGACCCATACAAATAATATAGATTTTTTTTATCTAGATCTAGATCCTAAGAGTTTGCAGTAAACCTGCCTCAGCTGAGCACACACAGTGTAGGGTTCTAGCTAAGCTGATGGCTTGTGTGGGTTAACTTACTCTACTTACTTAATCTATGTTTTTTAAATGGTTGGTTGCTGTCCAAGCATAAAACCGCAACGCTCCTCTCTGTATATGTAAAGTTTAATTCAAAAAGTTTGTGTCTCTACTTTCAGAGAGCAAATCAATGAAAACATGGGCAGAAATTGTCCAAAATATATTTAATTAATGTAATGGGGGACTAGCCCTGAACTTTTATGTAGACCAGCCCACTACAACTACAGTAACCTCCACCCTCAACGCGACCCCCAGGGATTGTCCCAGTCTTCCCTGACTGAAGCCCATAAGTCCAGGGGCCTCCTACTTTTGTTACTGACCTCATGCCACCTACTGAAGTTCTTCTATATTTGTTTGTTTGTTTTTTTTTGATTTCTTCAATTGTGTCTAAGCCCACTATAACTACCGTGACCCCCCAATACAACTCCCAAAAACCGTGTCCCAACCCTCCAACAACTCCTCCTCAAAGTACATGAGCTCAAATACATCATTACAATACATTAAGCCAGGCATCTGTAGCCTTAATGTACAAGTAGACTGAATGAACTGGCTACTCAGCCCTTCTGCACTTTGGCCTCGTTCCTTGCTCTGTTATCCAAATTGTGTACTTTCATTTCTTTGTGTGTTGTGTAAGTATTTTTCTGTTTTTTATCACCCCACTCCTCCTTTATACTTTTTTTTCATCTCTCTCTTGTTAGCCCTCACTGTTTAACTTTCCTGGTTATGATTATTATGCTTTGTTCTGAGGGTGGAGACATTTGCATGATTGGCCGGTGGCCACACACTGAGAATGCAGTAGACCACTAACGTTTGGGATTTAACTGAAAACATGGCAATATTTAAAATGGCAGAAAAAACATCTAAAGTGTACCTACAACATGATTATCCTAAAGAACAGAATAGCTTTAACATCTTTGATTTAACTTACGTCAAACAGAGGACAGCCACAACAAATCAACAATCTTCAACAAGAAAAACAACAAGAAAAACACCAAGAATCTACACCAGATTTTATTTATTTGGGCAAACACATAAAAGCAACAAAAACCTGCAGTTACAAATCAAAAATATAAATAATGCGTCAAACCAGCTATGCAATATATCATTGTAAATTTGGACAAGAGAATAAATCCAATGAGATAAATTTCCCCAAAAATGCATCTCAGGATATTACAACATACACTATTACCTGTCATTATCATACATTATCTGTCTAAACGTATCAAGACAGCCTTTCTGATTAGTAAATTCAGCTACTTTAAGGTCACCCAGTGACATGTGCTGCTCCAGAGTCACTGCATTTCTATAGAGATTATTAGCAGTATGAGGTCAACTGAATGCCTGTTTCAGCTACAGGCATTCAGTTGACCTCATACTGCTAATAATCTCTACAGAAATGCAGTGACTCTGGAGCAGCACATGTACTGTATACAGGGCCTCTAGCTATGAATAATTTGCAGACTGTTAACAGTTTATAACTTAATTTGTATGGACTGCTGACAGATTAGGAATAGTTTATGGGCTGCTGGATTTTGTGTTTGGTTTGTGTTTTGAACCTCCAACACTGTTCTATTGATTCACTTTTGATTCAGCCTATAAGTAAAATAATGTTTGATACTTAAGTCACAGGGGACATAGAACAGTTCGTACACACAAAACAAAAACTCATTTTCATAGCAAATATCACAAATATTGCTTATAAAGTCTACATAAAGTGTGTATTGAATAAACGGAATTGTTGTGCAAAGGAAAAATGACCTTTGTATGTATTTACATATTATAACTTGCATATTATGAGTTTCAAAAAGCCTTTTTGCCAATGACAAGAAGAGAAGTGTTCTTAGTAATGTGAATATTTGTATTATTAAGCTGAATGATCATATTTGCATGACTTCATAAGAAGCATGTTGATGAATGACCGGATCCAGCTGAACAGTCTGCATCTCCTTCTAGAACTCTAAAAAGATGCAAACAACATTATTCATTATTTGTTTCTCCATTAAAATTTACTAATATTTAATCCTCAGACTTACTCTTAATGGTGCAGATGAAGTTGAGTCTCTGATTCTCTGGCAGACTGACCCACTGCTTACTTCCAGACTGCATCGCTCCTGTTCTTTCTCCTCCACTGCAGTCTTCCACTTCTGTCCCGTTCCCCGGAGCCCACTTCTCATAGCACACAGTCGATCCACTCACCCAGAACCAGATACCTAAGACGCAGGTGTGACGCAGACCCATCCACACATTAGCAGTGGAGGCATTGTTAGTAATAATCTCCACCCAGTGCTGAATTTCCTCAGTGTGAACAGAGACCAGATCCACATGATTCTCTCTGCAGTATCTCAGAGCTTCTCTCCACGTCTTGGTCTGATTAATCAGGATGAGTGGAATCTCTGCAGAAGGGTGAGGAAAAAAAAACATGTAACTACTACATCATTTGAAATAGAGGCAGCGTTTCTACCTGTATGTGTTTCTCTGATTGATTCCTAATAAAATGGATTCTTAAATAAATTCCTATTTAAATTCACTATACAGATCTATTTAAATGCCCTGAGCCAATGCAAATTCAAATGCTGAAAGTGAATGAATTGAACAGATGTGTCGCATTTCATCATTTTATGTTACTCACTTATATAGCAGACAAATGGATCTTGGTAAGTGCAGCCTAGATCATTCCATCTGTATGCGTTGTCACTCAATAATATCCCACAGTAATCACCCACACCGTTGTTTGGCTCTCCAGAGTTCCAGTTGCTGTATGAGAAGTTGCTCCAATCTGACCAGATCCAGCTCTAGAAACACATTAATACCTGATCAGTGAACTGTTTAAACACTGACCTCTCAGTGCTCATCATCACACCAGATAAAATCATCATATGCTTTGGTATCTCTTATGATGTAGAGGTTTTAATAGGATTGAAAATGTATGTGTGTGTGTTTATTATGAGAGCTCTCTTCAGTGTTTATTAAAGTAAGGAAAAGTGTATGAAAGCTGAATTAGTATTTGCACTATATTTAAACATAATTCACTACTATAGTATAGTTTAGATGATTTGTAGCTCTATAAAGAACACAAATGAAAAATCATACAGCTAACAGAGAGCAGTTACTGTGATGGATGAACACATTCTGTTTATATTTGTGGAGCAGAATTTGGGCTTAATGCGTAAAATCGTTAAATGCTTATAGAGTTGTTCCAAAACTCTATAAGCATTTGTTGCATCCTACTTCATATCAAGAATATTAGAATAATAGAACTTCATCTAATTATATAAAACTTCTTACAATGTTGTTCTGTTGCATGTTCTGTCTCAGTCCTATCCAGAAATAACCTTGTGTCCCATTGAGAACAGCTATTACAGCGTTCATTTCCTCTTGGCTCTCAATGGTGGCCAGGTCAGTGAATTTCTCTCTGCAGTGTTTCTGAGCGTTGACCCAGTTTCTTTTTTCATTCACCACATAAAACTGACGAGTCCCACAGACGGCGAGAGTCCACAGAGCTGTAGAGATGAAAGCTCTCATCAGCATGAAAGTACAGTAATGAAGCAGCAGAGAGTTTTACAGATGATCATGAAGCTACACTGACCTGAGAAAAGCAGGATCAGATACAGAGCTGAACTCATGACTGTGGAGAACAAGAGAGACACAATCCACACATTAAACACCTCAACAGTCTTTACTACCAGCACATTAGATCATGCTGTTTAAGTGATGACCTTTCAGGTAATTATAGTAACATTAACCTCTTAATCCACAATCAGTGATATGAGACGAACAGAGAGACTCCAGCAGTAAACAAACAAACAAACATGCTGTAACTAAGGGGTTTCAGAATCGTACACAGACGTTAAACCATCAGGCAGCTGAGTAGTTAAATGAGAAAAGGTCAAATTCACAGGTAAACCCATATGAGACAATAAAGGCGGCTACTGGTACAACTAGAGGAGAGAACCACAGAGAACTTTGCACAGCCTGAGCAAAGAAAGAGAGACAATATATGAGGTGGAGATGAGCTGAGATGAGAAACACATGCCTGTTTAAAAAGCAGGAGATGCTGCTGATGCCATGTGAGATTAAAATAACACACAACCTATAGAAATATAAGCAGCAGAACATTTTTAAGACAAAAACTGTACTGGGTACACCAAGCTGATGGTTTAACACAGTAAGCATTATTTCACAAACACAAACACAATCGTCACACAGGAAAAACATTTTAGGACAAAAAAATCTAAAAAAGAAACTTCTTCTGCCTTCCGAAAGTCACTTAGTGGTCCAGGAAATTCAGGCATTTCAGTGATGGATAAGTCCTTTAATTGGGCTACGAATGTGAACTATGAACACTCAAAGAACCCTTTCCTTGATTAAAGAGTTCATTGTATTATGAAATGCAGAGGTGGAAAATTCAGGTCCAGAAAGTAAAAATCCTTCCCAGGAATCCTGGAAAGGATTTTTACTTTCTGGACCTGAATTTTCCACCTCTGATGAAATGGTTCTTCAAAATGCTGGAAACTGTGCATTAACATGCTGTAGATGGTTCTATAAGGTTCTGAACCCTGAAAAGGGTTCTGTATAGTACCCAAAGGGGTTCTTCAGTTGTTACAAGCTTGACATCATGACAACAAATGAACCTTTTTGGGTGCTATATAGAACACTTTAAAAATAAAAAAAAAGGTTCTATATAGAACCATCTACAGCATATTCTCCAAGAGCTCTTTGATCATGCAAAGGGTTCTGTGAGTGTTCATGGTTCTATACAGTTAAAATATGTTAAATGTTAAAATATGTATAGTATCAGGAAGTCAGTTTGTACCAACATTATAACTGTTCTACACTGTAAGCCCGGATAAGTTGAATTTACTTTAAAAATTTGAGGAAACCAGTTGCCTTAAGAAAATTACGTAATGTGTAATGAAAACTTGAGTTAGAGTAACTATACTTTTTGAGTTAGGCTAACTTAAACATACGTTTGCGCAACTCATAAATTCGAATTATTTTAATTTAACATCTTGAAATTGCAATTTAACTATACATTTCATTAGGCAATTGAGAAATGTTTTCTATTTAAGTGATATTAATCACTTTGCCAAACACCTAAGGGTTAACCTTTACTGCGAACATGGTCACTGACCAACACAAATGCCCACTCATCAGCAAAGAGAGTGACAACCTTTAATCTTAGCCAACAACACAATGTCAGGCAGCTGAGTAAACCATATGTAAAAATCACTTGCCTGAGGAAAGGCAGCCTGGGTGAATGAAAGCACGCTGACGGTGAGTAAAACAAAGGGAAAGAAACACTCAGTATGCAAATAGATGGAACCAGGAGCCAATGGGAAAGAAATATACGTTTTATCTAATAAAATCGTGTTAACAAAACAAACGTGTAATTGTACTTCACAGCTTACTTAGTTTCACTCAGTTTCACGCATTTGTTCAGCAACTTTAATGAGAAAGAAATAATTAAAACCAAGACAGAAATGTCATCATTTTTTGAATATGGGGTTTCAAAGTTGCCATAGCAACAGACTAAATTAAATAGCAAAAAGTTAATTCAACTCAAAAATGTCATTTGGGTGTACAAAATCATCAAAAACGTTCCCTTAACTTAAAACTGTTGAGCAATGTGTGGGATATACATAATTTATTGAGTTTACAATTTATTTGAGTTAAAACAAAATGCGGGTTTACAGTGTAGTGAGTAAACAACTTCTGATTACATATGAGCAAAAAAAGAATATACAGTACAGCATCTTCTTGAAAAGGAACAGGTATGCTTAGTAGAATATTATATTAAAAATTTTGTAAGTGAAGCATATACAGAACATGAGAAAAGTGCTTTCAAATACTTTGAGAAGAAGTGTTTTAGCTTAAAGAGTCTTAAAGGAGTTTCTTACCTGATACTGATGGAGATTTTGCCCTGTTAGTCTCTATGTGTCTCCTGCAGTTTATGTTCTGCGTGATAACTAAACACAATGCAGCTCTATATTTGTTGTTGCTTCTTTTTTATGCTCATTTACATGAAGTTCCAGAGGGCAAATGCAAATGAACAAAGATCCCCAGATACAGAGCAGACTGATATACAAAATGAGGCACGTTTCAAAGGTTATTTTCCACTTTCCACCCGTATACCAACCAGTATATACCTCACCCATTTTATCAGGTCCATATTTGAACTTTGTAGTTCTACAATTACAGACTGTAGTCCATCTGTTTGTTAGTCCCCTTTTACCCTGTTTTTCAATGGTCAGGACCCCACAGGACCACCACAGAGAAGGTATTACTTGGGTGGTGGATCATTCTCAGCACTGCAGTGACTCTGACGTGGTGGTGTTGGTGTATTAGTGTGTGTTGCACTGGTCTGAGTGGATCAGACACAGCAGTGCTGCTGGAATTTTTAAACACCTCAGTGTAGTTATCAGGTGTGTTGACAGGAATGACTGGTATAAAGGCCCCTAAGGTGCCACCTGGTGGAGCCTTGTGGTTTTACAGGGCCACATCCAGCCAGTGGTGTGTCCAGCATTTTAAACACAGGGTGGCACCTGGGGGCAAGAACATACAGAGGGGTGGCACAACTTAATTATGTTTAGGCAGCAAAATACTTGATAGGTACCTTTGTTCCAAAAAGAATGGCTACATAACAATATCACTGTATTGGCTTCATCTGTGCTCTATAGTTCCTAATAATGTAACTGAATATGATCCAGATGTATGACTATCAAAATCACAACGTGTCTTCATACAGTTGTTTGTTGAGCAGCAGATTCTGTTCTTCCAGCTGTTCTGAACTACAGTTCGCAGTGTGCAATACAGAAAAAAGCGATTAGCGTAACATGGGGACCTTCACAACCATCTCTCCCTGCATATCAACCTCTTTTACCTCCACTTCATCTTTTTTTCTGACCAATAGGTGTGGATCGTTCTGTCTCAGCCTCTCTTTTCTGTTACTCTTTTAGAAAAGAAATTGAGAATGTTTCCTTTTCTGTTGAGTTGATGTGAGCCTTCCAATTTCATACAGCACAAGAAACAACAAAAATTAAACAAAAATAAAAACAAATAAGATGATTAACCCCAAAATGTTCACGTATCGTATAATAACTGGGGAAAGAACATGGCTTAAACCCCTCCTTCTTCCTATCTATTGCCCTATAAATTCACATCCTCACCTTGCTGTGGCGAAGTGTTTGCAGTCCTCACATGTATTTTTCATTCAGCAATTTACAAACAATGTAAATGTGCCCTCAAATGTACAACAGCGGTTTTAAGGTCCAATTGTGCACCTTAAATATGTTTTTCCCAGGTGAAAAGTACATATATGTAGGTTGCCGGTTCGATCACCAGAGCCAACAGTATGTGACTGAAATGCCCTTGAGCAAGGCACCTAACCCCCAACTGCTCCCTGGGTGCTGTGGATAGGGCTGCCCACTGCTCTGGGCAAGTGTAATCACTGCCCCCTAGTGTGTGTGTGTTCACTGGTGTGTATGTGGTGTTTCACTGCACGGAGGGGTCAAAATGCGGAGGTGAAATTTCCCTGTTGTGGGACTAATTAAGGTTTCTTTACTTATATTAACTATGTACTTATATGTCTGGCCTTCTAGCTACAGGCAGAAGCCGCCCAGAACTCCAGCCCAAGTTCTCAGAGTTCTCCTCTCTCAGTCTTCCTTCATACTACCACCACATGTTGACAAATTTATTCAATACATGAATCACCCTGGCAAGAAGTAATTTTGATGTATCACACTTGTGTTTGACAGTTTATTATAGACAGAAGTTCTGTCTGATGGAATACAAAACATAAATCACCACCAAGTGAGTATCATTCAATTTGTGCACACTTTATGGACATGGCAATGCTTCATTACACCCCACACCTCGAGCTCTCCTGATCCAGTGAACCCAGGGCTACGGAAAGGGTCATTGGGTGTAGTTGGTACAGCTGTACTGGTTGCATTAGAATTGCCATTGTGTGTCAGGTCAGTCAAAGGTCAGCCATGAGATTTTTCAGGACAAATCTTCTTGGTGTGATGCACTCTTCCCTTTGTTGGCCACCAAAACATGATCACAACTCTACTGTGATTATTATGATGATTATGATGATGATAATGATGATGATGATGATGATTATTATTATTATTAGTAGTAGTAGTAGTAGTAGTAGTAGTAGTATTTTTACACAATATTCTAGGCATATGCTGACCTAAACAAATATTATAGACAAATTATAATCTAGATCTTCCACCAACTGAGCTGTAAGTGATCCTAAGAGTTTGCAGTAAACCTGCCCCAGCTGAGCACACACAGTGTAGGGTTCTAGATAAGCTGATGGCTTGTGTGGGTTAACTTACTCTACATCAATCTATTCAAATGTATTTTTTTAATGATTGGTCACTCTCCAAACATAAAACTGCAACACTCCTATCTGTATATGTAAAGTCCTCCCTGACTGAAGTCCATAAGCCTGGGGGGCCTCCCACTTTTGTTACTGACCCCATGCCACCAACTGGAGTTCTTCTATAGTTAGAGTACTTCTATAGGTTGTTTGTTAGTTTTTTTTTTTTTTAATCATGTCTAGACCAGCCCACTACAACTACAGTGTCCCAACCCTCCAAACAACCCCTCCTTAAAGTACATGACCTTATATATGCCATTACAATACATTAAGCCAGGCATCTGTAGTCTTAATGTACAAGTAGACTGAATTAACTGGCTAACTCAGCCCTTCTGCACTTCGGTTCTGCAGTTCCTCGCTCTGATATTCAAATTGTGTACTTTCATTTCTTCATTTCTTTGTGTGTTGTGTAAGTATTTTTCTGTTTTTTAAATCCCGTCATATCCCCCTTTACACTTTTTTCTGTTTTTTTTTTTCCATCTCTCTCTAGCTAGCCCTCACGGTTTAACTTTCCTGGTTATGATTATTACGCTTTGTTTTGGAGTGGAGGCATTTGCATGATTGGCCAGTGGCCCACTAACGTGTACATACATGTGCAGTCCAGTCAACATTTAAAATGGCAGAAAAAAACATCTAAAGTGTACCTACAACATGATCATCCTAAAGAACAGAATAGCTTTAACCTCTTACGTCAAACAGAGAACAGCCGCAACAAATCAACAAAATCTTCACAACAAACTACACCAGATTTTATTTATTTGGGCAAACACAGAGAAGCAACAGAAACCTGCAGTTACAAATAAAAAAAATAATAATAATGCATTAAACCAGCTATGCAATATATCGTTGTAAATTCGGACAAGAGAATAAATCCAATAAGAAAAATTTCCCCAAAAATGCATCTCAGGATATTACAACATACATTATCTGTCTAAACGTATCAAGACAGCCTTTCTAATTAGTAAATTCAACTACTTTAAGGTCACCCAGTGCTGATACAGGCATTCAGATGACCTCATACTGCTAATAATAATCTCCATAGAAATGCAGTGACTCTGGAGCAGCATATGTAACGTAGAACTAATTTGCAGCCTCTATTCCTGGTTAGGCCTTTGGAAAGAAATACAACAGGTAAACCAGAATAAATACAACTAGTTTAAAACATACAATCCTTAGTGAGTATGTAGCCACGAGGGTATGTGTACTTGTGGCTGAATGCAATCAAATCCTTACAGTAGTGTTCCAACCTCTAGTGTAAAGCTTTTCCAGAAGAGTAGAGGCTGTTACTGCAGCAAAGGAGGATTAATTAATACCCTTGATTTCAGGAGAAATGCTGGATGTGTGGGGGTCCCTGAACGTTTGGACACACAGTGTATTATAGTCTGAGTATTTTAATTTTTTTTTTTCACATCTATTCCCAGCAGGACTCAGGGCTGGCCACCAGAGGTCACTGTCATCTGATTGCTGAACTGTCATCACGGTAATGCCTGATCTCCTGCTGGCCATTCCAGCATCATTAGCTCCTCTTTAAGAACACTCACTTTGCTTCCTAAGTTTATGTAGTTCTGCTAGTTCTTCCTGTGTTTTTGACCCACGCCTGCTCTCGCTTTGTGGATTTTTTTTTTTTGTTTTTAACCTCCAGTGCTATTCTATTGATTCTATTTATTCACTTTGAATACAGCTTATAATTAAATTAATATTTGATACTTACATCAGATGTGCTTTCTATTAGTACACATAGAATAGAATTACTGGTACATACTTAAAACTTAAATATTTGTTATAAGTTTTATATCAAGTATGAATTAAATAAACATGGGAATGTTGTGAGAAGGAAAAAGAACTGTATTGTGGGTACTAACAAATGTTTCTATTTGATGTAAAGATGAAAATAGCATTCAGTAGCAAGTAAATGTAAATTAATGCCAACATGAATGACTCAAGAAATAACCATATAAACATATACATATTACAACTTGCTTATTATGAGCTTCAAAATTACCTTTTTTTCCATGACAAGAAAGAGAGGTGTTGTTAGTAATGTGAATATTTGTATTACCTAACTAAATTCATTAATCATATTTGCATGATTTAATCAGAGGCATATTGATAAGGATGGCTATCAAATATCCGTATGATCCTGAACTATAAGGACCAAAAAAGATTTTACCATCAAATGGTTCATGTCACATTTCTGGGTTCTCCTCCCTTGCCCAACATGCTCCAGGACTCCATTTCCCAGAATTCCAATCATCATGACATCACCCCTTCCGCCAATCACAGGCCTCTGCCCCGTTCAAAGTCACCTGATTACTAATGCTTCACACCTTTGCTCGTTTGCTTTAGACTTTATAAGGATCCTGGTTTGTTCTCCTCATTGTAAGATATTGCCACTCTACTGGTTTACTGAGTGTTTAGCTTCTGTGTTCATGACCTGTGTACTGAACCCATTGCCTGTTTCTCTTTTGGATTTGCTCTGGTTGCCTGTGTTTTTTGTATTTTCTGGTTTTTGACTTTTGCCTGTCTTTGGTTACTGATTTTGGATTTGCCCTTTGCTCTGGTTGCCTGTGTTTTTGTATTTTCTGGTTTTTGACTTTTGCCTGTTTTTGGATTTGCCCTGACTCGGTTCTCTCATTAAACCAACTTTTGTTTTTAGGACCCGCGAGTGTCTTTCTGTGCTTGTTCAGCGTTACAGTTGTTATTTTTGTGCTTTTCAAGTCTGTAAAAAATCTGTTTCCTTTTAAATAAATTCCTATTTAAATTCACTATACAGATCTATTTGAATGCCCCGAGCCAATTTAAATGCAATTGTTAAAAGTGAATGAACAGATGTGTCGCATTTCATCATTTTATGTTACTCACTTATATAGCAGACAAATAGATCTGAGTAAATGCAGCCTAGGTCATTCTGTCTGTATGCTTTGTCGCTCAGTAACATCCCACAGTTATCACTCCCATTGTTATTTGGCTCTCCAGAGTTCCAGTATGTGTGTGAGGAGTTACTCCCATCTGACCAGATCCAGCTCTAGAAACAAATTAATACCTGATCAGTAAAGCATTTACACACTGACCTCTCAGTGCTCATTATCATTTCAGATAATAGTTCTATAGAGACACAATCATTGATGAAGAGACTGAGGAGAAGGGGTAAGAGCACATAACCTTGTGGAACTCCAGTTCTGATGATCTGGGGGTCTGATGTGTGTTTTCCTAGCTGCACCTGCTGACTCCTGTTTGTCAGGAAATCCACAATCCACAAGCACATGGGGTCTGTCACTGACAGCTGGGATAGTTTGACCTGTAGCATCTCTGGCACTATGGTGTCAAAAGCCAAGCTGAAGTCCCCAAACAGAACTATAGTGTAGGTTGCATGACTGTAAAGATACTGTGCAGAGCCAAGTTGACACAATCATATACACAACTGTTAACTCTGTAAGCAAACTGCCGGGGATTCAACAGAGGGTTTGTGATGGCCTTTAGGTGGGCTAGGAGCAGGTGTTCAAAGACCTTCATGACTACAGAGGTCAGGGTTGCTGGCAAGTAGTCATTTGGTCCAGTAATGTTTATTTTTTGGGGGACTGGAATGATGGCAGATGTTTTGAGGAATGAGGGAACAGAGCAGAGTTTCAGTGATTTATTGAAGATGTTTGTGAAAATTGGTCAGAACAGTGCTTTAGGGTGGATGGAGAGACTCTGCCTGGCCCCAAAGCTTTTCTGACATTTTGTTTGCTGAAAAGCCTGTTAACATCCTGCTCATTAATGGTAATGTTTGTTGGGAAAGTAGGTGAGAGCTAGGGTGAGAGAAGAGGGCGAGGGACTGGCAGAGCGAGGCTGAAGACTGTACTTTGCACATTCAAAATTGCAACAGAACTCATTCAGGTCATTGGTGAGCTGGTGGTCTTTCAGAAGGGGAATCTTTCTCACCTTGTAGTTTTTGAGATCTTGGCTGTTCCAGACTGAAGTTGGGTTGTTAGCATCAGTGTGGCTTTTCAGCTTCATGTGGCTTTGCATGGAACTTGTGCAGGTCTCAGTCAGGAGGATTTTGGGAGCAGTGTGTATGATACTGAGCTGTGTGTTTGTGAAATATGTCTTATGTTCTGAGAAATGTGTGTACCCAGCTGAGAAATAAAAGGAGGTGGAACCTGGGTGGTGGGGCAACAGTGACATACATTAACCTTATAAATATACTTACCTTTCATTTACATATCACTGTTTACTTCACTTGTTTTTATAGAAACACTGTCAGTAAGACACTCTTTCTCAAAAAAGTTAGAGATAAAGACAGTTTATTTATATATTGTCTTTTTTTATTTTGAATACTTTTACCACTAAAAGTTTTGACTTACCTTACATTTTCAAGGTGGGATCAAACTGATAAAAAAACATTTTTAAAAAAACAAGCAACCATGAGTGGACTGACTGACTGACTGACTGACACTCTCACTCACTCGCTCTCTCTCTCTCTCTCTCTCTCTCTCAGTTATTCTAGCTCGCACAGACGAGCAAAGGAGGTTATATAATTAAGCCCAATCCCAAAGTAGAGTGGTTCAGTGAATGTGGTGGTGAATGTGTATAGGTGGGTCAGTGTGTGTGTTTTAGGTGAGACTCTGTAGAAGGACAGAGTGCCGGACTCCCAGTCCAGATACACTCCTACTCTGTCAAAGCCGAAGGGCTGGTAAGGTAGGTCAGTTTTCTGTTTATTGTGCAAGACAGTGTAACTGTCACCAAAACAGTACAGACTCCAGGAGAGATTATTGTATCCAAACCTACAGTCATTATCATGTCCTTCCCTGCAGATTCCTTTGTATGATACTGATATTTCAACCTCCCTCCCAATCCATTGAACCTCCCAGTAACAGCGTCCAGTCAGACTCTCCACACTCAGAACTTGCTCCTTAAAACGAAACCTCTCGCGATTCCACCCATGACACTGATTTATTGCCACAAAGTCCACCCTTTTGTTCTTCTCAGACAGAGAGAGACGATCGTTCACTGTGACTGGATCCAGAGTAAGATCACACGCATCTGTACACACACACACACATATATATATATATATATATATATATATATATACACAGATTAGAGGAGACACAAACAGAGAATTTTAAAGTGTGTGTGTATATATATATATATATATATATATATATATATATGTGTGTGTGTGTGTGTGTGTGTGTGTGTGTGTGTGTGTATACATTTCTTCAGTCCTCCTGGTTTCATCCAGACCTTCCCTCCATGTTCCACACTGAAGAACAAACACACACATTTATACATTCATTAAACTTCATATCTTATCAAAGCTAAAATAGAAAAAACAACAAACCAGATCGATACAGAGTAAACCATCCTTACTGTTCATCATTAGATCAAATTATTATTATTATTATCAGCTTGATACTTCATGACTTCTCCTAATTTTATGGAAACTGCAAATGACAAAGCTATGCTTCTATTTTACAAGCATAATCTATCAGTTACCCTTATAAATGTTCAGTTTTTTTGTCATAGTGATGTTGTTTGTTAGCCTTTTCTTGTGTGCTGCATATTTAATCATCTCAATAAGTCAGACTCATTCTGGGGGTATCTCATACAGAGATAAACATAGTGGGCCATTATGTCTATGACTAAACCACAGCTGTTCTGAGGTCAGCTGAGATCCAGTCACTGCTGATTCTGTAGACTTGTCATTGTTTCCATAGAACCCTTGACATGCTACTGAGCTCTGGACCTCAGTGTCCTTATACTACACATCTACAGTAAAACATTAACGTGAGTAATGTCTGTAATATGTACAATTACAGTCAGTATGTTATGGACACGGCAAGTCAGTAACTTACTGTAATTTCTCCAATGCACAGTGTGAATCCTCCAGTAGATCAGACAGCAGCTTCAATCCAGACTCTCCTGGGTAATTATAGGTCAGATCCAGTTCTCTCAGATGGGAGGGGTTTGATTCCAGTGCTGACGCCAGAGAAGAACAACCTTTATCTGTAACCATGCAACCAGACAATCTGCAGAAAGCAAAGAAAAAAAAAATAGCCGCTGTAAAGTATGAACAGGGCAAGCACCAAATACCCTGAAATACACATCAACATTCTGATATCAAACAGGTTAGCACAAAAACATATCAAAACTTCTCTTATCTTATTCCAATTTAGAGATCCAGGAGGTATGACTAGGGTGAAATTATGAAAGAAGACAAGACTCCAAAGTGGAAACCACTTTTCTCTGGGCAGCAATGCAAAGTGAAAATATAGAGGAGACATGGAATGAAAATACATAATCACCATTAAAGTAAACTAATTTAAAAGTTGTTAAAGATGAGATTTTGTTGTAAAGTATAGAAGAATGTAATAAACCAATTATATTAAGTATTAAATGTCTATAAAAAGTCCCACTTAGGGATGTCACAATCTGCTCTGAAAAGGGCCCATAAACGTATTCTCTTAATGACTTATTCCCTTAATATATATTTATGATTTATGCTGTTTGATGTAAAAATAGCAGCTCACTAAGCTTGAAATATTCAAATCCACCTGAAAGGATAGCCTTATAGACTGCAGAAAGGCACTTTCTGCAGCACACTCAACCTATGTCTGCTTTCTCATTGAAAATAAAAATAATAATAATGCTCCTAGATTATTATTTAGCACAATTTCTAAACCAACTAAGAACTAAATAGCTACTGAACTCCAGATACCATTAACCTACAGCATCAATGATTTCAGATTTTTTAAATAATAAAATTTAAATGACTAGACAAAAATTCAAAACACACAATTAACCACAAATCTGCTGCCCTACAAAGCCTGTCCAGATCCTGAGTACAGTGTAACTACTGCAGAGAGGATGGAATCCTTTACCTTACTTCAACAGTCAGAGCTAGTTAAAATTATTTCCTCCTTAAAATTATTTCCTCCTCAAAACTTCCTCTCAACCTACTTGAAATTCAATTCCTATGAGTTTACTCAAAAAAATGTTACCCAAAATAATCAAGCCTCCTTCATCAATAATAAACTCTTCTTGGCCATATACCACAAACTACCAACAATTATTATCAGTAATTAAATCTCTGATTGAGAAGCCTAATCCTGATCCCCATGAACTATCAAATTATATACATCTCAAACCTTCCCTTTATATCAAAGATTTTGGGAAAAGCTGCAGAGCGACAACTAAGTTCCTACTTGCATAGTATTTACATACATGAAAATTTTTAGTCTTGATTTATCATAGTACAAAGACAACACTAGTGAAGCTGTTAAATAATCTCTTATTATTCTCTGACCAAGGAAATGTATCCTTGCTGGTTCTGCGTTATCTTAGTGCAGTATTTGATATGATCAATAACTCTATCTTACTAGACAGACTAGAAGACTGTGTAAGAGTAACAGGAATAGCTCTTTCCTGGTTCTGATCTTACCTGGCTCATTGCTATCAGTTTGTAAAAGTAAATAATCTATTAAAACAAAAGTATGATACTCCAGGATCGGTTTTGGGGTCTTTGCTTTTCTCTTTTGTATGTTATCCCTAGGTGATGTCATTAGGAAACATGATATTAATTTTCATAGCTGTTCTAATGAGACACAATTAAACTTTTCCATTCCTTCTGATAATCAAGACTCTGTTGACAGGCTTACCAGCTATGTGTCAGATATTTCTTAATGGATGTTACAATTTTTTCTACAACTAAATCAAGAACTGCCATACATCAAAATTCAACTTTCTGCCTCCTCAGAGAGATAGGCGCTCCAAAATTAAATTAAATTGCTCATAAAGCTACAATGATGACATGTTCATTCCTAAATAGAGATCCAAATTACAGAAAGTTTACCTGAGTGTCTCCAGTTTACAGTGTGAACTCTTCAGTCCAGTAGAGAGCAGCTCCACTCCTGAATCCTGCAGGTCATTGTTACTGAGGTCCAGCTCTTTCAGGGAGGAGTTTACTGATTGTAGAACTGGTAATATTTTTTCACAAGACACTGTGGTGAGTTTACAGCCAGCCAGTCTGAAAAGAAAGAGTAAATACAGTGCATGGTACATTTAAGTCTTATTAGGAGAATTAGAATGGAGTGATGCTACTATCCATTTTTTCCCCACATACATTTTTTTAGAAACTCCTTTTATTCAAGCCAAATAAATATTTTGATTAAACAGTAAAACTACTTAAAATAAACAAAAGCAACATTTTCCATCAGTCCAAATCTCACAAAATACTTTACATCAATTTCTGCCCTGCTTCACTTTTTACACTGTAGTGTCTCTAAAAATGCCACTGAAAAAGAATTACAATAATCTGAATGGGAGGTGATGAAAAAAATGAACCAGGGTTTCTACATCTTTCAAATTAAGTAAAGTTTGAAGTCAAGCAATGCTGTGGAGCTGATGATAAGCATTGTCTTGTGAATGACTTGATATAGGATTCAAAGGAGAGTGTAATTTAAATATCATTCATATATTCAGGTTTCCAGAACTTTATTGTAACATGAACAGTTTTTCATGTACAATAAAGTCATGAGTTTGTATATTCTGGCAGATGCTGCAGTAGACATGCGGAGATCATGGATGCTTAATGGTTCATGTTAATTATGGTTTACAGTGAGACATATGGGGGTGGGTGAGGTATGGGTCAGACATCTTGCTCACCCAGGAAACAGTGCATGTGCAATACACTGCCTCTTCATTTCTGGTGTAGTGATCGCCACGTGGCCACTGGCTGGCTTGCTAGGCTGGATGTCACTGCAAATGGCCTCTCCTTCATTACTGCATCCATAACAGCACCTTCTCATCAGTGCCCCCATTTCTGGAGAGCATGCTACGTCATGGCAAATGTCTGATGGTATAGCCAGATGGGTAGGCTGGGCTTGTCAGCCTTGGCTGGCAATCAACCTAAGAGAAAGGAAACTCTAACTCCAAACCTGGACAGATGGAGCTTACTTAGCCCTGTCAAGAGGACATTTCCACATAATATCTATGACCCAAGGAACTTGCTCTCACCATCCCAGCTTGCAAACCCTGGGTATAAAGGGTGAGGTCAGTACTGCACACACTGCACTCCACCTGTAAACTCTGATACTGTGCAGGATCAAAGGGCATGTCTATGTCTACGAGCAACATCATCATCAAGCCCTGCAGTGATGGGAAAGGGGCAAAATGGCAGGTGGAAGATGACATTGGATGCCATGCCCTGCATCCAGGAGAACGTTCATTCAAGGTTTGAGGATCCCAGTTTTCCCACAGACCCCTCTTCAGAAGCCCTTTGGGAACACCTAAAAACTACCATCCTGCAGACCACTGAAGAAGCGCACTTTGCTCAGCTGTCCTGTCCTGTTAAGAAAGCAGCCTTCTGCCATGTATGCAGCAACCTCCAGTGCAAGTTTTGAGAGATTCAGAACAAGAAGTGGACCAACCTTACAGAGAGAACTCAGCTTTGCCCAAGTAACAGTTACTAGAGATGATTTTATGAAGCCCTGAAGGTGGTGTACAGCCCTTTGCACCAGTCCAAAGTCCAAAACATAGTGCAGATGACCAAACACTCTTCACAGATATGACTTCCATCCAGAACATTTCCAGACTCACTTCAGCGCTAACCGCACGGTCCAAAGACTCAGCAACTCATTGCTTCCTACCACACCATATTGGAGTTCAAATTAAATAATAATGATTATAATAATGTATGGACATGGCTGTATTTACCATTATCCTGCCTTTTACCTTATGAGCACTGGGATAGGCTCCGGCACCCCCTGTGGCCCAGGAGGATAAGCAGCTTAGATGATGAATAAATGAATGAATGAATGAATTAATTAATTAATGTATTTACCATTAAATTCAGAGTAAGCTTTGTTGTACATACCTATATTAATTTTTAGAAAAGTTTTATTTGTTTTGCAAAGTATGTACCAGTAAATTACTTATAAGTGCTACATATTAACCTAATCTATATATATATATATATATATATATATTATATATATATATATATATATATAATACATCTATATAATATACTAACCTACTTAGCATACTGTAAAATAAAAGTTTAAATAAAATAGATTTTTATCACCACAAACTAAACTGTTGAGCATGCAAACAGATGAAGGAGATTCTATTTCACATCTAAAGTAAGCATGAGTGGGAAATCATAACTCATTGTACTTTTATGTCATGGCATATTTTTGTGTGAAACTCATTATCAGGGAGGATCTCTGAGCTAGCTGAGCATTTTCTCTCCATGATCGGTGGTGGTAGCTCAAGGGCAAGGTGAAACATGATATTATTGGTTGGTATAACACAGTGCCGTATAACATATTAATGCAAATACTCACATAGCTTTTCTGGACACTTTTACCACTGGCAGCAGCCTCAGAAGATCCTCCTCTAATAAGCCATATTTCCTCAGGTCAAACTCATCCAGATCTTCTTCTGAATTCAGCATTACAAACGCCACAGCTGACCACTGAGCAGGAGAGAGCATAGCTCTACAGAGATCACTGGAACCTCCTTTGTTCAGGTATGTTTGGACTTCCTGAACCAGAGAATGGTCATTCAGTTCATTCAGACAGTGGAACAGATTAATTGTTGTCTCTGGAGAGGGATTCTCCCTGATCTTCTCCTTGATGTACTGTGCTGTTTCTTCTTTACTCTGAGAGCTGCTTCCTGTCTGTGTCAGTAGGCCTTGTAAGAGAGTCTGATTGGACTCCAGTGAGAGTCCCAGAAGGAAGCGGAGGAAAAGGTCCAGGTGTCCATTCTCTCTCTGTAAGGTCTTGTCCACTGCACACTTGAGGAAGTCAAACATTGTGGACTTTCTGAAGAAACCATAAAATCCTCGTAGGAGAACATTACTGTTGTTGGAGATGAAGGAAATAAATGCATACAAAGCAGCCAGAAACTCTTGAACACTCAGGTGCACAAAGCTGAACACCTTCCCCAGGTGCAGCCCAAACTCCTCTCTAAAGATCTGGGTACAAACTCCTGAGCACACTGACACTTCTCTGACATCAATGCCACACCCTCTCAAGTCTTCCTCATAGAAGATCAGGTTTCCTTTTTCCAGCTGTTGGAAAGCCAGCTTTCCCAGTGCCAGAATACTCTTTCTAGTCTGGTTAAAATCAGTGTCACATTTTCCATGGTACTTTTGGTCTTTGTGTTTGATCTGAAAGATCAGGAAGTGGGTGAACATTTGAGTCAGAGTCTTGGGGATCTCTCCACTCTCTGCTTCACCCAACATCCTCTCTAGAACAGTGGCTGCAATCCAACAGAAGACTGGGATGTGGCACATGATGTAGAGGCTTCTTTTGGACTTCATGTGTGTAATGATTTTTTCAGCGAGGTTCTGGTCACTGATTCTTTTCCTGAAGTACTCCTCTTTCTGAGGGTCACTGAACCCTCGTACCTCTGTTACCTGGTCAACACACACAGGAGGGATCTGGTTGGCTGCTGCTGGTCGAGTAGTTATCCAGAGGAGAGCAGAGGGAAGTAGATTGCCCTTGATGAGGTTTGTCAGCAGCACATCCACTGAGGCTGACTGTGTTACATCAGATAAGTTCTCATTTTTCCTGAAATCTAGTGGAAGTCGACACTCATCCAGACCATCTAAGATGAACATCACTTTGTAGTCATAATAGTGTCTTAGTTTTAATTTGTTTGTGTCTGAAAAAAAAATATGAAGTAGTTCCACCAGACTGAGCTTTTTCTCTTTCATCAAATTCAGCTCTCTAAAAGGAAGTGGAAACATGAAGAGGATGTCATGATTTGCTTTTCCTTCAGCCCAGTCCAGAATGAACTTCTGGACAGAGACAGTTTTTCCAATTCCTGCCACTCCTTTAGTCAGCACAGTTCTGATGGAATTATCTTTAAATATATTGTTGCATTTGATGGGCGTCTCCTGTGTTGCTGGTCTCCTGGATGCTGTCTCAATCTGTCTGGTCTCATGTTCATTATTGACCTCTCCACTCCCTCCCTCTGTGATATAGAGCTCTGTGTAGATCTCATTCAGAAAGGTTGAGATTCCATGCTGTGCGATTCCTTCAGTAATTTTCTGAAACTTTTCCTTCAGTGTTGATTTCAGCTTTTGATGACAAGAAGGAGCCAGTTCTAATGAAAAGAGGAAACAATAACAATAATGTTAAATATTAACATTTGGTTTTAGTATTTACACAAAGACACTCTGACACATTATAGTGGCATCACACAAATCTGTTCACGTTTATATGTTTATATGATGAGTAATCGCATGACCCTGATGTCTTACTGTTCTGTAGTGTATTAGCAAGGTCAGTCTGGTTCATGTTCCTCAGGACAGTCAGTGTGATCTTCAGCACCCCTTCTCTGACAGTGCTAGGCCAGCTGCTCGACTTCCTTTCTGTAGAGAGACTCATCCCTGTTGGCTATGAGGCCCACCACAGTGGTGTCATCTGTAAATTTCAGGATCTTCACAGGTGGCTCTTTGGAGACACAGTCATTGGCATAGAGACTGAAGAGAAGGGTTGAGAGCATGCAACCTTGCACTACACTAGTAGGTTCTGGGGGTCTGATGTGTGTTTTTAGTCACATCAGAAATCAACTGGAGCATTTGAAGTCAAATTTGGAAGAGGCTTATAAGCGTTGTTTAAAAGCAAGGCATTGAAGAAGAAAAGAAGACATGAAGATCAAAGGTATCCATCTTAATAAAGGTGACAGGGTACCAAAAGCCAAAAAGGTGAGAGGGGCAAAAGGAAGTTTGCAGACTATTGAGAAGCAACTGTGTATACTGTTGTGGACCAAAATCCTCAAACACACATACAGAAAGTAGCTGATGAACAGGGAAACACCAAAGTTGCTCACTGAAAACTTTTACTTGACATCAGTTTTCTGCCAGTCGTGACTCTAAGTGGGGAAGACTGCACTGAAACTGATCCAGTAGCCCCCACAATGCCCTTCACCTTAGACCTAGCCCAAACAGTCCAGTTGCATCTAACACAGACACTTAAATTGATGTAGTCAGAACACGTGCAGGTTGAGCAGTGGGAAAAGTGAACCCTGACCATGCCATAGTGGTAAATGATGTTCCCGAGGATGCTGAGGTGTCAGAAGTAGGAAAAACATTGCACACCATTAAATATCCTGGGCATGTACAAGTGCAAAGGTGCATGCTTGACCCCCAAACCCAATGTCTCATAGTGTTACGCAAGTGTAGTGAAAGGTTTAATACCAAAGTCATTCCTCTGGATGTGCTGCCAGTCAGTGGGGTGATCTTTGGACCATGGGGGGAAGTTTTTCAAGAAAACTGTGAGACCTCACAAAGAAAGTAATGCTTTTAGGTGTTTGTGTTCATTCCCACCCCTGCTTGTGAAGACAATTTAGATACTTAGCTAGAGCAAGTTTGTTTAATGTTAGATGAATGTGAACACTCTGACTGCGAGAGGCGAAAAAGAATTGTGAGTTTAAAGGGACCAGCTTTAAAACCCACTCTGTGCCAAATGAGTGCAGCAGGTGAAGTAGATATCATTCCTGCAGAGACGGTCAAGGTAATAGCAGAGCTAGAAGAACTGAAGACCAGAGTGTCCAAACTGACAGCTAAGAGGGGAATGGCAGGGAAAGAAGCTAAAGCAGCTACTGATGGGGTGGTTCAAATTTTACAAAAGCAAATTATGGATTTGCAAGAGTATGACTGTGAAAGCATGTAGATGCTCAGCCATAAAGGAAGAGAAGTTCGAGAAATAGAGAGACCAGGGGGAAGTGGCCAAGTCAGAACCAGCCCTCTATTAGAACAAACCCACAAAAAAATAGAGTAATGAAGATGACTTCTTTAATTTTTTCGATGTGGTGAGGACAAATATGTGGCTACTCTGTGCAGTTGTCCTTAAGATTCTGCCAAGATCAAAACCAGGCTGATTCAATCCTTGAGAAAGACAAATGATAGCAGAACAAGTGAAATCAGAGATCCTGTTTTAACTGGAACAGTGCAGATAGAGAGGAACTGCATGGACAAAAAGAAGGCTCTGTCCTCTTGCAAAGCCCTGTGTGTCCCTGAGGACCTGGTGGGTAAACCCTCTTTGAGCCAGGTAGCTATTGAAGGGCAGCCATGTACTACCATGTACTACTGGACAGTTACTAACATATTTGAGCACTGATACAATAAATATTTGCCACACCTAACCATTCATCCTATTTCTAGTTTGGCTATTCGGGGCCTAAATGATACTAGTTACCCCTATTAAGGTTATGTGAGGGTGAACCTAGAATTCCCTGAAGACCACGGTGAGGCCAAGAGAGTTTTAGCTTTGGTGTGCTGTGACCCTCAAGGGACCAATCAAGTGGAAATCATTATTGGGGCAAATGCCAGGGTTCCTGTCATGGACCTACAACCAAGCATAATGTGAGTTGTGTGGACTCAGTCATGGAGGGTGTGTACTGGACCCCCTGAAAAGGTGGTGCTAAGCTACCATCCCGTGGGCACAGATGATACTGTAGTAAATGTAAAGTGGGCAGGACCAGGGCCCCTTACTATTCCCCCAGGTAAGACCCATCTGGCTTTGACAAAGCTGTACTTAAACACACTTCCTGTTGGAGTAGCCTTATCCCCATCAGTCTGACATTGATGTTAATAGTTTCTAAGTCCTGTTGAAAAAAATCATTTAAAGAAAGAGCTATTCCCAAAAGTACTGTTGTTACAATGATCCATGAAGCTGATGTGGTCACAGAGGTCCAGAAAGATGTCTCCCCACAAGACTGAATCGATCCCAAACTTTTCAAATTTGGGGATTCACCTATCCCCCCAGAATTCAAGAAAAGAGATGCACAGGAATTGTCAGAGCAAACCAAGGTGTTCTCAGTGGAAGAATGGGAAGTGGGTTTAGCTATAAGGGTAGAACACCACATCAGACTTACTGATTCAGGCCCTTTAGAGAATGTCTTAAAGTAGATACTATCAGATCACATTGGTTGACCAAGATGATGGTCATATGCTGCAAGGTCTCAGCCCTAAGACCTTAAGTCCCTTCAGTCCCTCCTAGGGTTCTGTGGCTACTATAGGCTTTTTATAGCCAATTATTCATCCGTAGTTCGCCCCTTTGACCAATCTTACCTAGGGTTATTTACCTGCTCAGAAGGGTAATGCTGAAAGCAAGAACCAATATCATTACTTTCAAAAGTCAGAGCCTTTTGGAGAATTGTGGATTCCCAACTGTACTGAGGGAGTGTTTGTGTCCAGTAGCCTTTGCAAGCCAAAAACTAAGCAATTCAGAATGAAATTATTCAGTACATCAGCTTGAGCTTTTAGCCTTAAAACACATAGTAGTTGACAAATTTCAGAACTACTTGTATGAGGCTCATTTTACAGTAAGAACTGACAACAACCCCCTCACTTATGTCCTGACCACTGCTAAATTGAATGTTACAGGGCAAAAGTGAGTTGCAGCCCTTTCCACCTATGATTTCAGTATCCCCTACAGGCCTGGGCATAACAAACATGAATATTGATGCAGATTTGCTGTCCCATAATGCGTCTGAGGCAAAGATATCAACGTCAGTGGTGAAAGCTCCCTGCAAGAGGGTCAGTGTTTCAAAGTCACCAAGAAAGTCCAGTTGGACTGTAGAACAGTTGGGAGCTTCTCGCCAGGCTGGATGTTAGCTCAATTGAGCGTCTAAGTGAGGAAGACTTAAGGAGAGCACAAGAGTTGGATGCTGCCATCAGTAAGGTTAAGCAGGCAGTGAAAACAGGTCAATGGCCTCCAAAACACAAGTAACATTCCAGAGCTGGCATTGTTTCAGCATGAAGCAAAGAAACTTGTGCTTAAATGGGGACTCTTGTATCGCAAAACAAACAGGGGCAGGACAGGAGGTTTTTCAGTTAGTACTCCCAGAACAATACTGGCCCGTGGTATTGCAAGCCTTACATGACACAGACAGTTAGTTCTGTTAAGAGAGACTGATTACAATATACAGTGTTATCAGAGTGCAGCAGAGACTCTGGCACAGACTGTGTCTGAGTCCCAAACACTGACTGGAAGTGGAAGGGGCTTTGTATAAAAAGGCTCTACCCCCTGAAGTAACTTTATTAATTCTAAGTACTAATCGTAAGCCAGCACCTTGTGATCTAAGTAGGTGTGAGGGTTCATAATAAGAAAAAAGCTCAGATAAGTACTGAGGGGTGAGGTCATTTAGAGCTATATATGTCAGTAAAAGAATTTTGTACTCAATGCGGAATTTAACTGGCAACCAGTGTAGGTTTGCTACAACTGGGCTGATATGGTCAAACGTTCTAGTTCTTGTAAGGACTCTGGCTGCAGCATTCTGGACTAACTGAAGCTTGTTAAGGCTTTTGCTGGAACATCCAGACATTGGGATGTTACAGTAATCAGTCTTGAGGTAATAAATGCATGAACTAGCTTTTCTGCATCCTGTAGAGACAGTGCATTTCTAAATTTGGCAATATTATGAAAATGGAAGAAAGCTTTATTAGTAATATTAGTTATATGTGCATCGAAGGACAGATCCGGATCGATTGTGATACCAAGGTTTTTTTAACAGATGTACCTGATGCAACTGAGAAACTATTGAGTTTAAGTGTTAAAATAGACAATTTGTTCCTAGCAGCGTTTGTACCAAGAAGAAGACCTCTGTTTTGTCTGAGTTGAGTAGGAAGAAGTTACATGACATCCAGTCTTTTATGTCTTTTACACAGTCCTCAATCTTATTAAGTTGAAGTTTATTATCTGGTTTGGTTGATATATAAAATTTTGTGTCATTAGTGTAGCAGTGGAAATTGATGCCATGTTTACTGACGGTACCCAGTGGTGGCATATATAATGTGAATAATAGAGGTCCTTCTCTTTGTTGCCAAACACAATAATCTCCTGTTTTGTCCTTTTTAATTGAAACAGATTTTGGCTCATCCAATTATTTATGCACTCCAAACACTGACACAGTGAGTCTATTGGGCCATGTCCATCTGGTGAGAGAGCCAGATATATCTTCATCTGCATCACTATGGTAGTCAGTGTTGTTTTTCTGTAGGATTTAGACCAAAGGCAGCATATAGAGATTGAAAAGAAGAGGTCCGAAAACTGATCCCTGGGAGATTCTGCATGTCATAGCCATCCTATCAGATTCTGCCAATGGTGAAAAAGTAACTCCAGCCTTCTAAATAAGACCTGAACCAATTAAGGACGGCTCCAGAAAGTCATACCCGGTTTTCCACACTGTCCAGCAGTGTTCTGTGATCTACAGAGTCAAATGCAGCACTGAGATCTAGTAAAACACGAACTGATATTTTACGTAAGTCAGTATTCAGCCGAATATCATTTAACACTTTTATAAGAGTTGTTTAGCACTTTTATAAAAGGTGCTCTTTTACTTCGTGTGTGTGTTTCTCTCTCTCTCTCTCTCTCTCTCTCTCTCTGACACACACACACACACATACACACACACACACACACACACACACCTTGAATATGATCTCCATGTGTCTCTTGGTAATATCAGAGTTCTCCTTCTGGACTCTGTAAGAAAACGTAAGATTATGAATAGCAAACTGAACAGCACAATATACACTTTAATATACAGTGGAGTCCAAAAGTCTGAAAGCACTCTCAAATTCTGGGATGTTCTCTCTGAAATTCACAAATGTGTGAAATTGAGCATTTTGAGGCCTTAGTACAAAAAGGTCAGATTGTTTTCAGTCTGATTTCTTCCACTGAAGCCTGTGTTCAGACGACTCTCTATTTGATCTGCTGATTGGAGACTTTAACGCAAACTTGTGGAGTCCATGCAGCACGAGTGTATGCTGTCATTAAAGCAAAAGGGGGACACGCCACCAAATACTAAGAAATTATGTAATTCATGTAATCATTCAAAGATTCTAATTGTCTCTGAAAGTTTTATGCCAGGAATATAATTTGTAATGAAAAACCTTGTACTGAATTAGAAATGAATGCAAATAGAAGCATTTTCGCTGGCAGACTCTTAGACCCCAGTACACTGTGTAGGGAATTTCATCACCCCACACTCTGTAGAGTCACAGCACTGAACAGTTTAGTGTTTCCCTGCTCTAAATCACCTGTCTCACCTGCTGAGATTAATAAGGTGGGACTGGAAATGAGGAGCATTTCACTACAACAATGTTTCCCAAACTTTTTTACAGCCCTTTACCCCTCAGACATTTGCAGTCATATACAAAAGTTTGAACACCCCTGTTAAAATGACATTTTGTTGTTGATTTTCTAAGTGAAAATAAGTTAACATGTCGTCTACAGAGAACACACTTATGTATTATTATATTATAGTGCACAATTTCTATTGATTTGCTGAGTTTAATATATTGAATATTATTGTGCCACATTTGCACCAAATTTTTCCCCTGATATGTTAAATTCCGCAAATAAACACATTAAAATGTGCAGAAGTCTGTTCTCTGTAGAGGATGTGTTAACTCCACACACTCACACACACGCACACACACACACACACACAAATAACTATTCAGAGATTATTGAAGGGGTGCTTGACATGGTGCATGTAAGTCCATACTGTTGGGTTCTATAGGAGAGAGATTTACTCTTAAATCATGTTCCACACTCTGTCTGTGTCTGTATTTAGTTTTTTATTCTAATAAGGCATGAGAGCCCACCCTCAGCTCACAAAGACAGCTTACTCCAAAGGGCATTAGAATTTGACCTTTAACCTAGATTTTTAGATCAGCACTACAGTAAATATGTTCATGAAGTTTTGCATGTGAGTAAGGCTTTTAACAAATAAATAAATTACAAAATAAACAAATGAATAAATAACAGGAGCATGGTCAAATATATGCATCAATCATTACTAGTATAAGGATTTTGACAAATCTACTAGCATAGGGATTTTGACAATTGACTATAGTGTTATCTTCATATTCATATTTCTCTGTATTTCTTACATTTTATTTTATTTATTTCAATCTTTGTTACTTATTTTTCATTGTATTATTCATTTATTTATTTACCATTATTTTAATTTAATTAATTAATTAATAGTAAGTAATCTTTAAGTTGTATATGTGCATGTTCTTGGTGTGTAACATGTTAGTATGTGTTGGACTGTTTGTCAGAAAAAGTTCAGGAAAGTGTTAATTTAAAAATTTACATCAAATGATAAATGTATGTATTGCTATATATAAATATATATAAATCTGGCAGCCAACTTGAATTAGACTGCATATTCAAAGACATTCTCATAGTAACGTCAGTGAGGTTCTCTTGCTCAGGAGTTGAGGAGGTGAGTGGAGTGCAGAGCTGTGGCCAGCTAATAAAGTTAACTAGAATTGTTTGATATATATAAGTGTCACTGGCTGTACCCCTGATGGTAAGTGTACCACACTTTGGGAATAGGAGCCCTACACCATTCTGATGTAAACTGTCTTTACCTCCGCTCCGTAGAACTGTCCCCCTCTCTGAGTGTTAATGGAGGGTCCATTGAACAATCGCTCTTCATGGACACACAGCTGGGGTCATATGAGTCTGGTCTCATCATCAGACTAAAACATACCATAAAACATTTTTTTTCCTTTTTCTGTGTATGAAATACACTAATAATACGTACATACTGTTATTTTACATCCTGGTTTACGTCACACAGAATGAAGAACTGCATGTAGTAAAATACTTTCCTGTGCTTTTCTTGTTTATTTTGTCATCTCTAAGAAACTTCAGGAACTGTTTGTTACCAGATCACAGAGTTTAGAGTAACAGTAGGAGCATTTTCTTTATCTCATTCTTCAGTTTCACATCATTCTTACCTGAGCTCAGTAAAACTCTTGTCCTCTCTGAAGTTTTCTGCTTTGCCCATTGACTGGTCACTCTTCATGGACGCACAGCTGGGTTCAGGTGAGTCAGATCTCTGACTCTGAACCACTCTAGAACGCGCAATATCAGACATGATCTACAAACGTTCCTGCATGTTGGTGTAGATGAGAATGTGCAGTATTTACACCAAATCACATGATTCTCTCACTTCTCAGCTTTCTGTGAGTCCTGTTCCTCAGAGAAGCTCATTCTGGAGGTCATGGCTCCTCCTTCAGATTATATCTAATCCTGTAAACACACACAGAAGCAGTGAAGTCTACTTGTTAACTTTATCTGAAAGCTGTTCTCTCAATTATATTATAGTCAGAAAATAAAATCTTCAGTAATTACTGTGCTGTCTGTGCCGTCTGTCCAAACGTTCTGCATGATGTTCTCGTCACAAAACAGACGCTGCTGTGCATTTTACTTTCACTTTAAACCGGTTTGGACTGGATTAGTCATCCACCACAGCAGGAAGTGCTGGAAGGTTTTCACATGAAGGAGGAGGGTGTAGTGATTTGTTACTCAACCAAACACAGCACTCTTTTCCACTCTCTGACTGTCTCCCTTACTCTAACTAAGCCCAGCAGTCTGTCTTCAGTGAGAACAGGATATAGGCTTAGGTAAGTCTGAGCTAAGGTAATTCTGAGAATTGTTCCCAAATGTAAAAGTTTTCTGTATGATCCACTGTTACCACAGTAAGCATGTTTCTAATTCATGATGTCTCAGAATGAACTTTAATAGCGTTCACGTTGTCTCACTGGACTAGTTAACAACACTATACAGTATATTTATTGTGTAGTGTTGGCCTAGAGCAGGGGTCTTTAATTAAAATTCAATAAGGTCCAGTTAGAGAAAATATCCTGAAGCAAAGGTCCAGAACAGAGGTCACTAATAGACGGACCGCGGTCCGAGTCCGGACCCAGATGCTGTCCTATGCGCACCTGGACCTATAACCGATAAACTATGGAGAATTATTTAATTTCGACGGGGTTTTACTATTTAACCGGCGTAGCTTTTCTAGCCTTTACGGTAGCAGTAGCGGCCCGGGAAACTCACAGACCAATCGCATTCGTTGTCAATATCACACGTGACGCTACTCAGCCAATCAGATCCGTGCGTTACGATGAGCTTCTGAGACTCGAGTGAGTGATGCACACACAGGGGAGGGACGAGGTTAGAAACAGTCAGAGAAGAAAGTGAGTCAGAGGGAAATTGTTTCACATGTTGTGCTCTAAAAAGAGAAAACTGATAATAAATATTGTTGAAATATGACTGAACTGGACTTTATTTGATTTGACATTCAGTTGTTGACTGTATAAGATGTTGATATAGCTACTAGGCTACTTCAGTAAACAGTATATGGCACTGAATCATGATGCAAGTTAGACATTATGATGTTCTTACGGAGCCCCGCTGGTGACATCCTGTATAAATAAAAATAATGCGTGGCCACAACTTAGTGAGCCGTGATCTCATTCCCACACCTTACTAAGTCGAGACCACGCATTAGGATCTCGTTCCTATATTCTCTAACTGGACCTTATTGAATTTTAATTAAAGACCCCTGACCTAGAGGCTGTAATGAGTACGCTACAATATCTTACATGTACAAAGTCAAAGAGATTACAAGAGTGGACGGTTATATATCGTTACGGCACCTTTGGGGTTCTTCCTGCTGGAACACTAGTGCTGGAGCAGCATTCTATGTTCTAGACTTGTGAATTAAAGGAACCAGATCTCTGATGAACATATGAACACATGAACATAAATGATGTTTCATTTGATGTTTGAGATATAATTTGATATCATTTGATATCAGTTGTAGCGTTTCTAGTGGTTTAATGTGCTGTAAGACTGCTTAACTTTCGTCAGCTGCTAAGCTAACAAGCAAACCGCGTGGCTGCTAAGCTAACAAGCAAACCGCGTGGCTGCTAGCTAGTGTTATCTAGCTGACTAACTCCTGACTGCTGTATGAAGCTGATAACTTGTTTCAAAGCTGCATGGAGTCTTAGTTTGTCTTGCTTTGCTTTCTGACCATATTCAGTGTAGCCTGCAAACAATATAGCTAATGTTAGTATATATAGCAGCTCACTTTAACCTCACACACTAGTTAACATTAGCTAAGTTAATCTAAGAGCACGAACAAACTTTAAAGTACCATTTATTGTGGGGCTGTAATATTTACCAGCAGCAGGGCTATCAATTCCATTAGCATAGAATGGCCTAAATGTGAGATTAGTTTATTTTTTTGTTGTTTCTCTGTATTTGAGAGGAGGTTTTTATCACTGACCACTTAACCTCTGTAAGTATGCAATTTTATCTTAGACAAAACACTAAGTTATGTTAGTGTGTCCTTAGCCGCTAGGTTTTTCAAGTAATGTTAGGACTTTAATTTCCTTAAAACTGATACGTACATCACATAGTTACACTGCTGCCATCACTGAAGTCAGAGCTGGACCTAAATTCAGCCCTAAACTTTTGTCTGGACCAGCATGCTACAACTACAGTGACCTCCTCCCCACCACGACCCCCAGGAATTGTCCTGGTCCTCCCTGATTGAAGTACATAAGCCTGGGGGCTCCCACTTTTGTTATATGACCCCATACCACCAACTGAAGTACTTCTGCATTTGTTTGTTTGTTTGTTTTCTTGGTTTTGTCAATCATATCTAGACCAGCCCACTACAACTACAGTGACCCCCCCAACATAACCCCCAAAAACCATGTCCCAACCCTCCAACAACCCCACATTTATTTCTTTAAAGTACATCAGTTTGAATACGTCATTATATTACATTGAGCTAGACATCTGCAGCCTTAGTCTTGGCTCCTCTCAAGGTTTCTTCCTCTTGCTCTTAGGGAGTTTTTGCTTGCCACTGTCGCCATTGGCGACGCTCATGGGGGCTCGGACCCAGATTTTCTGTAAAGCTGCTTTGTGATAATGTCTGTTGTAAAAAGCGCTATATAAATAAACTTTGACTTGACTTGACTTTTGGCTTAGTGAACAAGTAGACTGAACGAACTGGCTAACTCAGTCCTTCTGGACTTTGGCCTGGTTCCTCGCTCCAAACTGTGTACTTTCATTTCTTTGTGTGTTGTGTAAGTATTTTTCTGTTCTTTTATCACACACCCTCCCCTCCCCCTTATGCTTCCTGGAGGTTTTTTCCATCTCTCTCAAGTTAGACCTCACAGTTTAACTTTACTGGTTGTTCTCATTATGCTTTGTTCTGGGGGTGGCGGCATTTGCATGACTGGCCAGTGGCCCACTAACGTGTCAATACATGTGCGCTCCAGTATTCGCTGTTTGTCCAAGGATGTCTCCATTAATTTTAAACAGGACTGCATTAGAAATGATCATGCATTTCTCTCTTTCTCACTCTCTCAGCAATCCACACACATAGCGACCCATCAGGAATTGTCCTGGTCCTCCCGGACTGAAGTCCATAAGCCTGGGGGCCTCCTACTTTTGTTACATGACCCCATGCCACCAACTGGAGTTCTTCTGTATTTGGCTTTTTGTCATTTTAGTTTTTTCAATCATTTTTTATTTTTGGGTGGGACATTATTGGTTCTGAAATGATGCACCACATTATTTGGTGTTTCTCAGCTCTGTCATCTCTGTTCTTCAAAGTGACTCATTCATCTTAAATCAGTGAAGCTTATTCACTACCTCCATCATTAAAACTTACATCACAGGGTGGATGTACGGTTAACATGAACACATGTAGTCTTATAACAGTTAATATGGCTTTGTCTAGGTTAGTTATAAAAGAGTCATGAGTATATATAAATCAATTAGCAGGCTCTCCTTTTAATACTGAGAGCAAATACAACATATTCTTTACGTCTAAAACTCTACGGACAAGCAATTGAGGTGTATAATAGGCATAAGAAATCCACAAATATTTGGGAGAAATTTGCATCAGGATAGCTTCATGTGGACTTTTGTTAAAAGATGTCTAGGATTTACTTGAAAACATGGCAATATTTTAAATGGCAGAAAAAAAACATATGAAGCATACATACAATATGATCATCCTAAAGAAAAGAATAGCTTTAACCTCTTTTATTCAACTTATGTCAAACAGAGAACAGCCACAACAAAACGATCTTTAACAGGAAAAAACACAACGATCTACACCAGATTTTATTTATTTGAGCAAACACAGAGAAGCAATAGTAACCTGCAGTTACAAGTCAATTAAACCAGCTATGCAATATATTATTGTAAATTGGACAAAAGAATAAATCTAGTAAGACAAATTTCCCCAAAAATGCATCTCAGGATATTACAACATACATTATTTGTCTAAACACAACCAGAGAGCCATGCTAATTAGTGAATTCAGCTACTTTAAGGACACCCAGTGCTGATACAGGAATTCAGTTGACCTCATACTGCTAATAATAATCTCCATAGAAATGCAGTGACCAATAGATTGAGGTGCAATAAATAAAACAAGTAAACCAGAATAAATACAACAAGTTTAAGTGAGTATGTGGCCATGAGGGTATGTGTACATGTGGCTGAATCCAATCAAATCCTTACAGCAATGTTCCAACATCTAGTGTAAAGCATCTCCAGAAAACTGCAGCAAAGGAGGACAAACTCCCTATTAATGCCCTTGATTTCAGGAGAAATGCTGGGTGTGCAGGGTCTATGAACATTTTTGTCACATCTATTCCCAGCAGGACTCAGGACTGGCCACCAGAGGTCAATGTCATCTGAGTCCTGAACTGTCACTATGGTAAAGCCTGATCTCCTGCTGGCCATTCCAGCCTCATTAACTCCTCATTAAGAACTCTCACTGTGCTTCCTCAGTTTATGTAGTTCTGCTAGTTTATTTCCACTGAAATACTGAGTCTTTTTCATTGTCTGCCTTTCCCTGTGTTTTGACCCACGCCTGCTCTCGCTTTGTGGACTGTTGTTCTGTGTTTTTGTCTTTGACTTTCATGGACTGTTGACAGTTTATAACTTAATTTGTATGGACTGCTAACAGATTAGGAATAGTTTATGGGCTGCTGAATTTTGTGTTTGGTTTGTGTTTTGAACCTCCAACACTGTTCTATTGATTCACTTTTGATTCAGCCTATAAGTAAAATAATGTTTGATACTTAAGTCACAGGGCACATAGAACAGTTTGTACGCAAAAACTCATTTTCATAGCAAATATCACAAATATTGCTTATAAAGTCTACATAAAGTGTGTATTGAATAAACGGGATTGTTGTGCAAAAGGAAAAATGACCTTTGTATGTATTTACATACTTGCATATAACTTGCATATTATGAGTTTCAAAAAACCTTTTGCCAATGACAAGAAGAGAAGTGTTCTTAGTAATGTGAATATTTGTATTATTAAGCTGAATTATCATATTTGCATGACTTCATAAGAAGCATGTTGATGAATGACCGGATCCAGTTGAACAGTCTGCATCTTCTTCTAGAACTCTAAAAAGATGCAAACAACATGATCCATTATTTGTTTCTCCATTAATATTTACAGATATGTAATCCTCAGACTTACTCTTGATGGTGCAGATGAAGTTGAGTCTCTGATCCTCTGGCAGACTGACCCACTGCTTACTTCCAGACTGCACCGCTCCTGTTCTTTCTCCTCCACTGCAGTCTTCCACTTCTGTCCCGTTCCCCGTAGCCCAGTTCTCATAGCACACAGTCGATCCACTCACCCAGAACCAGATACCTAAGACGCAGGTGTGACGCAGACCCATCCACACATTAGCAGTGGAGGCATTGTTAGTAATAATCTCCACCCAGTGCTGAATTTCCTCATTGTGAACAGAGACCAGATCCACATGATTCTCTCTGCAGTATCTCAGAGCTTCTCTCCACGTCTTGGTCTGATTAATCAGGATGAGTGGAATCTCTGCAGAAGGGTGAGGAAAAAAGATTTAACCATTATGTCAAATAGTTGTTATTTTTGTGCTTTTCAGGTTTGAAATATTATACAGGCAGTTGATTCTGATCTGTAAGTGTTTCTTTAACTGATTCCATGTAAAAGGATTTCCTCTGTAAGTTCTACATAAAGTCACTATTCAGAACTAAACCCTGACCCAATGCAAATGAGCGTGGTGAATGAACTGGACCTGTAAGAGATACTGTACTGCATTTCATCATGAACTCACGTTTATAGCAGACAAATGGATCTAAGTAATTGCAGTGGAGATCATTCCATCTGTATGCACTGGGACATAATATCCCACAGTTATCACTCCCATTGTTGTTTGGCTCTCCAGCGTCCCAGTATCTGTACGAGGAGTTACTCCCATCTGACCAGATCCAGCTCTAGAAACACATTAATACCTGATCAGTAAACTGTTTAAACACTGACCTCTCAGAGCTCATTATCACATCAGATAAAATCAGTCACACAAAGATTTTAGTGATTAGCCCTTATGAATTTCCTTTAATTATACACAGCTGCTTACAATGTTGTTCTGTTGAACTTTCTGTCTCAGTCCTATCCAGAAATAACCTTTTGTCCCGTTGAGAACAGCAGTCAGAGCGTTCATTTCCTCTTGGCTCTCAATGGTGGCCAGGTCAGTGAAATTCTCTCTGCAGTGTTTCTGAGCTTCATCCCAGGTCTTATTTACTTTCACCACATGAAACTGACGAGTCCCACAGAAGGAGAGAGTCCACAGAGCTGTAGAGATGAAAGCTCTCATCAGCATGACAGTACAGTAATGAAGCAGCAGAGAGTTTTACAGATGATCATGAAGCTACACTGACCTGAGAAAAGCAGGATCAGATACAGAGCTGAACTCATGACTGTGGAGAACAAGAGAGACACAGTTCACACATTAAACACCTCAACAGTCTTTACTACCAGCACATCAGATCATGCTGTTCAAATTGTGATAGTCAGTTAAGGCAAACGTACCATTTAAAGCCATAACCACGGATGTAAGAAAAATAGAGCAGGACCCCCACAGGACCATCCAGAGCACATACTATTTGGGTGGTGGATCATTCTCAGCACTGCAGTAACACTGACGTGGTGGAGGTGTGTTAGTGTGTGTTGTGCTGGTACGAGGGGATCAGACACAGCAGCGCTGCTGGAGTTTTTAAACCTCTCGGTGTCACTGCTGGACTGAGAATAGTCCACCAACCAAACATATCCAGCCAACAGCGTCCTGTGGGCAGCATCCTGTGACCACTGATGAAGGACTAGAGGATGACTAGCACAAACTGTGCAGCAGCAGATGAGCTATCGTCTCTGACTTTACATCAACAAGGTGGACTGACAAGGTAGGAGTGTCTAATAGAGTGGACAGTGAGTGGACACAGTGTTTAAAAACTCCAGCAGCACTGCTGTGTCTGATCCACTCAGACCAGCACAACACACACTAACACACCACCACCACGTGTGTTACTGCAGTGCTGAGAATGATCCACCACCCAAATAGTACCTGCTCTGTGGTGGTCCTGTGGGGGTCCAGACCATTGATGAATGGGTTAGAGGTGGGATATCAAAGTATGTAAAGAGACAGTTGGTCTATAATTTGTAACTGTAGAACTATAAAGTGCACCTATATGATAAAAGGAGCTGATAAAATGGACAATGAGCGTAGAAACAAGGTAGGTGCACCTTATAAAGGGCTCAGTGAGTGTAAGTGTTCATATAAACAGCTGGTGTAACAATGGGGATATTAAACCCAGCAAGCAGCTGAGTAGATCAATAAGCAAAGGCCAAATTCACAGACAAACAAAAGTGAGACAGGGGTGGGAAACTGAGGGCTGGGGTCCAGCATGGTAACATTCATAGCCACAACCATGGATATAAGAGAAATAGAGAAGCTACAGCATAAAATAAATGTAATAATTTCATGTAAATATTACTGTTATAAAAGGCTGATGTATCAATGGCTGGAAAGTCATGCAGATATTAAACTCAGCAGACAGCAGAGCAGCTAAACAAGTAAATATCAAATTCACAGTCAAGCAAATGTGAAACTATAAAGGCATTTTACATGAGACTTTTTCCTTTATTAGTCACAAGAAATCAATGGGGTGAAGGCCATGTTTTCTCCACACTCTTTCTTTAGTAAAGAAAGATGTTTTATATAGAACCATGAACACTCAAAGAACCCTTTGCATGATTAAAGGGTTCTTTGCATCATAAAAGGGTTCTTCAGACTGATAGATATTGTGCTGTAGATGGCTCTTTGCAGAACCTTTTTGAGTAGGGTTCTATATAGCACCAAAAAGGGTTCTTCTATTGTTACAAGCTTGATATCGTAACTGTAGCAAAACCCTTTTTTGTGCCAAAAAGAACAGTGCAGTTTAGAAAATCTTACAATTTCACTATGTAGGGAGCAGAGAGCTGTTTGAGATTCAGCCCCAGCTTGGGATGAAGGGCACTGTAAGCTTGGTGCTAAATAAGACTCTTGGTGGTAATTTGGTGACCAAAAAGTACTTATGAAGCGAAGGTTTCTGCATTAAGCAGTGCTATGTGTTATCATATGTTCATTCTTATACGACAAAAAAGTTGAAAGGTTCATGAAATGACCTTAATATACAGTGATGGGGGACTTCTCCTCATTCAGCGGTCCATGGTTGGTTGGCAATAAAACCACATGCTAAAGGAACTACATTTCAAGGCGGAGTGTTTGTATATGGCAATTATTATTAACAATAACTTACTTGATTTTCTGAAAAATTGTGTTTTTTTGTCATATTTTATGTTGACTGCTGTTTTATAAACGCAGTTAAACTAAAAGTTTTATGATTTCTGTATCATGCCTAAGACTATAATTTAATAATAATGAATAATGTTTAAGGCTATTTAATGTTACAGTTTACAAAATATATGATGCAGTATTATGTATTAATTTATTATAATGTATAATTAACAATAACGTAAGATTAACTACTCAGCTTACAGCATCTTAAAGGTTTTTCTTACCTGTTACGGCTTAAGAGGAAGCTCTCTTGGTCTCTTTGTCTCCTGTGTTAGTCTATGTAGTGTATGATAATAGATCACAACTGTGTTTGTTGTTATGCTTCCATTGTGATGTTCATTTGCATGACGTTCCCGAAAACAAATGCAAATGAACACTGCTTCCCGACACAGACCAGACTCATACACATAATAAAAGGCAATTTCTAGCATAATTTTCAAGCAATAAAAATGTATCCCTTTTGTAAAATTCCTGAAAACACTGTCCACTCACTGTCCACTCTATTAGACACTCCTACCTTGTCAGTCCACCTTGTAGATGTAAAGTCAGAGACGATAGCTCATCTGCTGCTGCACAGTTTGTGTTGGTCATTCTCTAGTCCTTCATCAGTGGTCACAGGACGCTGCCCACAGGACGCTGTTGGCTGGATATTTTTGGTTGGTGGACTGTTCTCAGTCCAGCAGTGACACTGTGGTGTTTAAAAACTCCAGCAGCGCTGCTGTGTCTGATCCACTCAGACCAGCGCAACACACACTAACACACCTCCACCATGTCTGTGAGGGTCCATGGGGGTCCGGACCACTGAAGAACAGGGTAAAAGGGGGCTAACAAAGTATGCAGAGAAACAGATGGACTACAGTCTGTAATTGTAGAACTACAAAGTGCACCTATATAGTATGTGGAGCTGATAAAATAGACAATGAGCGTAGAAACAAGGAGGTGGTCATAATATTATGTCTGATCAGTGTATATTCGAACCTGAGGAAGAGAACATGCAAAGACATCCTGCTGCATCCTGGTCAGTAGTTGGCTCTCCACAGCCAGAGGTGGAAAATTCAGGTCCAGAAAGTAAAAATCCTTCCCAGGATTTTGCTCCAACTGCCTTGGTAGCTCTGCTGGTGGTTTGATCTAACTAGAGAAGCCAGGCCGTTGGAACAAAATCCTGGGAAGGATTTTTACTTTCTGGACCTGAATTTTCCAGCTCTGGCTGTGGAGACCCAACTACTGACCAGGATGCAGCAGGATGTTTCCAAGGTTAAGGGGCATGGTCACGTTCATAGCCTTGTTTTGCTTCCCATGTATCTTGCTGACTTTATAGCTGTACTGTATAGCCCCTTTCACTTTTTTTCTGTTTGTTTGACATCTGTCTTCCAGACTGGCATTCCAGATTTAGGGGTTAGCATAGCACGGGACATATGATCGAGCTTTGTGACTGGTCCACGACAATGGCGCAACACTGAAAAGGCCCAGACCAATGAGCAGTAGCTATCGGGGGTGTTTCAAAGTACTTGTTGTTCTTTTGTTCAGTTATTAGCCTTATTAATAATTTATAACTTAATTTATAACTTTAAAACTTGTTAGTGGGCAGTGAGCACACTTACCCAGAGTGGTGGGCAGCCCTATCCACAGTGCCCGGGCAGCAGTTGGGGGTTAGGTGCCTTACTCGAAGGAGCTTCAGTCCACCTTCTGGTTTCAAGGCTGGTTCCCTAACCTCCCGCCCACGACTGCCCCAAAGATCCAAGCTATATCTCAAAGTCCACCATAAACTACTTCAAGAAACCCAAACGGAAGTTTTTGCAATGACCCTCACAATTACCTGACTTGAATATCCCTGGAAATCCATGGGCTGATGTAAACATGCAGTGCATGTTAGATAGCACAAGAATATTGCATAACTAGAACCGTTCTGTGCATGGTTTATGTAACAGCTGGAGGAACAGTGAAACCAACCACCCAGGACCTTTTGGTTGAAGGCTTGTCCCTGTTAGAGGTGCTTCATGATTCATGAGAGAGAATTTAAATTGATATATGTACTTCATTCCTCATTCAGACACACTGATCTAGGCCAATGGGTTTCAGTTCCAGTCCCTTCTTCCCCCTATGCCTTTTGAACATCTCCTGCTCAGGCGCAAAATTGATCACATGCAGAACACATCATATGCAAAACACATTCAAATGCTGTATTGTTGTCTCTGCTCCAACATAAACACTGTGTCTTAATTCAGACACTATATGTTACTTTCTTACATCTTATATGATGTATTTCTCTCTAAAGAGCCTGTTTTTTAAGGTAGTACCGCCTCAAAACAGAAATGGCAATTTACAAATGACTATACAGATCTTTATGTCATTGAATCATCACCGTGTGCTATCTGCTAGGTTATCAGCTAGCATATGATATCAAGCTAAAGTAAGCCAAACATAACATGCCACTGACATTGAAAAAATCCACTACATGATGCAAAAATTCTGATTTAAAAATGCAATTACTGAAATACGAAGATATCTAATTCCCATTTAAAGTTTCAGACTGCACCCAGAGGAAAAAAAATATTGTTCAAATGTTGCTCTTTAATGGTTCAGGGCATTCATGTCTTATTTAAGATGATCTTACTGACAGACACTACAGTGGTGATTATTTTATTTTTACCGAAAAATCTAATTCTCTTGTGGAGCCATAAGGGGCCAGTAAAAGAGCCGCATGTGGCTCCGGTGCTGCCTTTTGCCGACCGCTGCGCTAGACTTTACAGGACAGTGGATCTCCAGAACCAGAGTTGGTGACCACTGATTTAGCATTTCTCAGTTGTTATCACCTTAGATCTTCAAAGTGACTCATCCAGTGAAGTAGCTGTAGCATCTGCATCATTAAAACTTACATCATGGATAGACTGTAAGATTAAAATAAATGCATGTAGCTTCGTAACAGTTAATGTGGCCTTGTCTAGTCTGATGGTAAAAGTATTTGCATGCTGTGAACCTTAGTCATAAATACATAGACATAAATCAATCAGCAGGCTCTCATTTTAATACTGGTGTAAAATGCAACACACTTCAACACTGTATGTGAGAATAGTTCAGGTATAAATGTCAGGTATAAAATAGCTGTTAGAAAACAACAGCCCACACAGGCATAAAGATACGAGCAAAATTTGCACAAAATAGCTTCATGTGGACTTAGATTGTTAAACGTTGTATGGAATTTACTTAAAAATATTGCAGTATTTTAAATGACAGGAAATAAAACCATCGGAACTGAAGATTAAAATGAACACAAGTCTGCGTGAAAATCCTTGTAACCGGGTATCATGTACTGAATATACATACAATGTGAACAGTATGAGAACTTAAATCTTTTGTCAGATGTGAAAAGAACATTCACAAAAAACCTTAAATCAGACTCAGAATCTACATCACAGTTTATTTATCTATTTGAAAAATCACAGTAAAAGATGAGTAACCTACAATCTGTATATAAAATATAAATGATATATCAAACCAGCTGAACAAAATATCACTGAAAATGTGGACAGGATCTTCCCTAAATACTTACCCCAGGTTAATGAAACATATTATAGTTTAAATATATATTCCTCCTATTCTTTTACTTTAAATACAGCCTATAAGTAAAGACAATGTTTGAATCTTAAACATGTTGTAAAACATCACAGAAATGATGGGAGAATATTTCTTTTAGCTGACATTTTGACAATGTGACAATTATCACATACAGTGGTTATAAAGTAGATCAGAGTTATATGGAATAAACATTGTGGAAGGGAAAGCATCTTTGTAGATTGGAAACCTTTTGCTGTATTTTGGCTATTTGCAAATATTTGTATTTTAAACAAATGTGAAACCATAAATCAGATACATATGAGAGGGAATTAATGCCCAACATGAATAACCGAAGTTTAATTTTTCAGCTTTAAATTTTCAGCTTTAAATTATACTTCTTGTAGGTAAACTCTGCAAATATTGTAATATTCATATTTTATTGTTAGGTTTTACAGTAGTTGGAAACAAAAGAGTTAAAATCTTAAAACAGAGAGCTCTCCCATTGGTTAGGCCTTCAGGAGCTGAACTGAAGCTTTTTTATAATTCAGTATAATGATGAACGATGAGGATCCAGTCGAACAGCCTACATCCTCTTCTAGAAGTCTACAAAGGAAGCAAAGAACATGAGTCAGTATTGTTTTACTGTCAATTTTTAACCATTGACAAATACATAACTCTTTTACCCTTGGTGGCACAGATGAAGTTGAGCTCCTGATTCTGTGGCAGACTGACCCACTTCTTACTTCCAGACTGCACTGCTCCTGTTCTTTCTCCTCCACTGCAGTCTTCCACCCCTGTCCCGTTCCCCGGAGCCCAGTTCTGGTAGCACATCGACTCTCCGCTCACCCAGAACCAGAAGCTCAGGGTGCAGGTGTGACGCAGACCCATCCACACATTAGCAGTGGAGGCATAAAAAACAGCTGTTTCCACCCAGTTCTGAATTTCCTCAGTGTAAGCAGAGACCAGATCCACATGATTCACTCTGCAGTATCTCAGAGCTTCTCTCCACGTCTTCTCCTCTTTAATCAGGATGAGCGGAAGCTCTGCAGAAGGGTCAGAACAAAGATTTAAACATTAACACTTTTAACAGCAACACTTTACAATCCTGCTTTTAGTTAATCTGTAACTGTTCAGGAACTACGCAGGGATGAATGAGTAGTGCTGCATTAACACTTCACTAACTACTATGAACAAGGACTTCTAGTTAATTACTCAGTAGGTAATCGTGAATTAATGATGAGGGTAGTTCACTATTAACTAAACAGTAACTGCTGAGTTGTATACATTTCCAAGAAAACTACTTAATAACTATGGTTTCCTAGAGTAACTACTCATAAATTACTGATCACTTCAACAGTAATTACTCAACAGCTGAGTCTTACAAGGTTTCTGGTGAACATGCATAATTAGCTACATTGTAAATGAGTATCATTCTGAGTGAAAATAAAGGTAGTTGATAGACTGATAGATAGATAGATAGATAGATAGATAGATAGATAGATAGATAGAACTGAATCTGTAACAGATGTACTGCATTTCATCAACTTATATTATTCACCTTTATAGCAGATAAATGGATTTGGCCAGCAGCAGCGTGCATCATTCCATCTGTAATCAGGTTTATGCCATAATTGCACACAATTTTCATCTACACCATGGCTTGGCTCTTTATCATTCCAGTATGTGTATGAGGAGTTACTACCATCAGACCAGATCCAGCTCTAGAAACACATTAACATCTGATCAGTCAACTGTTTAAACACTGACCTCTCAGTGCTCATTATCACACCAGTTAAAATCAACATCACTGCCACATGAGGATTTTAAGGGGAAACGATATTATATGATGGGGTTTGATACAGATAATGAAAAAAATAATAATGGTAAAAATAATAAAAAACGACACAGTCATTAAACACAGTGCTGCTCACCATCTTCACTTCAGAGCTCTGCCGGTTTGGCAGAGGTGTGGGAATGAGGGGACAGGGCTGCTGAGCCTGAAGCTGCATCTGTTGGGCCTGGCACCAGGCAGAAGCAGAGACAATTGAATTAAAATTGTAATTTGTTCAAAACAATGTTCCGCATGTTAGTTTTGGGTAAGGTTGTTCTGGCATTTATTTCTCTGAGTTTATTCTATATGGACTCTTTCTTGTGAAGACAGACTAACTGGTTTGTTCTGTGTTTTTGCCTGCATAGAAAAGAGGAGCGAAGAGTAAACTTTCAGAATTTTCTGTGAAGATATTAAATAATAATGTTAGGGGAGCAAAAGTAGCTTATTTCACTATTTCACTGTGGACTAAGCTAACAGGTTAAAAAGTTTATAGGTACATTGTACAACCCTGTTTCCAAAAAGTTGGGAAGCTGCACAAAATATAAATAAAAACAGAATGCAATGATATACAAATCATTTAAACCCTATATTTCAGAAAACATATGTTGAAATTTTACTGTTTCTTAAAAAATATATTGTTGCTGTCGGAACAAAACCTTGTATCTCCATTTTTCAGTTTTTGACATAATTTGAAAATGCCTGTTACTCTTTACATTATGTGTAAATTTCATGACAAATGGACCAAAAGAAACAGCCCAAAATTACTTGGAAAAACCTCTAGTTCTATTGACTTACATTAGAAGTAAAGTTGTTTTGTTCCGACAACAGCGATATGCATATTTTGAATTTGATGCCAGCAACACATTTCAAAAGAGTTGGTACGGGGGGGCATGTTTACCACTGTATTGCATCACCTCTTCTTTTACCAACACTCTGTAAGCATTTGTTAACCGAACTGTCTACGAAGGTTTAGTGATTGCTGACTTGAATCTTCAAATTATTAAAGAGAATTTAAATGATTAAAAAGAGCTTTTCCAAAATTTACAGCATCCTGCTGTAAATTTACACAATTGCTTACAATACTTTTCTGCTCAACATTCTGGCTCAGTCCTATCCAGAAGAGGCCCTCTGTCCCACTGACGACAGCTATTACAGCATTCATTTCCTCTTGACTCTTAATGGTGGCCAGGTCAGTGAATTTCTCTCTGCAGTGTTTCTGAGCATCGGTCCAGTTCTTATTTACATTCACCACATGAAACTGACAAGTCCCACAGAAGGAGAGAGTCCACAGAGCTGTAGAGATGAAAGCTCTCATCAGCATGACAGTACAGTAATGAAGCAGCAGAGAGTTTTACAGATGATCATGAAGCTACACTGACCTGAGAAAAGCAGGATCAGATACAGAGCTGAACTCATGACTGTGGAGAACAAGAGAGACACAATCCACACATTAAACACCTCAACAGTCTTTACTACCAGCACTTTAGATCAGGCTGTTGAAGTGACATTTAGTTACAGTAACATGATCCACTTAAAGCCCCAATCAGGGATCTGAGAAGAATAGAAAGGCTCCAGATTAAGAGCTCTTAAGTAAAAAAAGGTGATGCATTTATATTTTGAAATTCTGAATGGAAAAATCAACAATCACACACACTTTTTCATTTTATTAAAAAGAGCAGATATAAAACTTTTATTTTAGTTTCAAGTGAAATACATGAATTGTATTTACTAAATGTATGTGAATGTGTTCCTCTGTAGTAAATTAGTATTATTAGTAGTAAAAAATTATGTAGTAAATTTTTTTCAATTTTTTTAATTAATAAAATCAAATTAGAATTTTTAATTAAATTCTAATTTGATTTTTAATTGAAATAATTTTCTTTTTTAAATCTGTTGTTTTAATTATTTTTTTTATTTGTATTCTCCTTTACTTTTTAAATGACTGTATTTTCTCATTTGTAAAGCATGTTGAATGATATGAGTGTATGAAAGGTGCGAAATAAATAAACTTGCCTTGCCCAGTGGCCAACAAGACACTATTCATAGTACAATTAAACACATGTTGCAAACTCACAAACATGCTGCAAATGCAGAAAACACTTTAATCAGCATGACAACATCAAAGCTACATTTTACAAACTCACTGCAAATAAAGAAAAACCATGCAACTTCAGAAATACTGCAAAGCCAGTCACAACACAACGGAAATGTATCTGGAAGACTCAAAGTTGATGCGATATCTATGATGGGAAATCACTGACAGAAGTAGATCAGACCACAGACACTCAGATCCCCAGTTCATGGTTAACCTGGCTGGCTAGTTTGCTGTCTGACATGTCGTAGCTTTGCTGTGGGAGTTCTCTGGTGTTACTAGTTTACCATTTACAGTTACCTTTTACAGCTAATTCCTATTAAGATACAGTGATGTCGGTGATCTGCTCAAATAAAAGTTAACTTACTTCTACCAGTGAATGTTTTTGCTGCATAGAATTTAAAAGTCTGAATGGCTCGTTTCTCTCTGAGTGTCCTTCAGAAACACCTCCATTGTATTGTGACTGGCTTATCAGTGATTCCGAAGTTGCATGTGTTTTATGTATTTGCAGCATGTTTATATAATGTAGCAGTGGTGTCGTCATTTTGATGAAGTTGCTTTCTGAGTCTGCAGCTCATTTTTTATTTGAATTTGTTGGGTCATCTCAGCCACCGTACATAGTAGCAGTAGGAAAATGCTGTTAACAGCATACAAAAGCACTGTGAGACTGTGACTTTAAAAAGTATTCATTTTTAGCTCTGTATTTTAATAGTAATGTATGAATAATGATGTATGGTTTACACAGATTTCAAAGCCAGCAGATGTAACCAAAAAAAACACTGTGTTGTATTTCTGTTGTGAGGATTTTATTCTGATAACTAGTAAACTGTGTGGATCATGCAGTGTGATATCAGCAGTATATGCATGAAAACAATTCACTCTAAAATTGACCATCAGCAAAGTATGATACAGCACAATTCCAGATAACAAACACAGGAACATATTTTTATGTATATAAACCTTGTGATTTTTAATGCACTGAAAATGTAGGATTAATAAAGATTAAACATGAGGCAGAAGCTGACAGAGATAAAAATCTATAATCACATGGAATTGTACCTGTTCCTCTCTGAAATCTCCTCCTCTTCTCTGCCTCCTTATATGAGACAAAAGGGAGGAGGAGATTTCAGAGAGGAATAAGGGGGGAGGGGACGTCCCAACATAAACTGCCCCGCACCAATACAGGCGAGATTATGGGGAACAATTACATGTGATTATAGATTTTTATCTCTGTCACACAGACAGCAGAGGAGATAAACAAGCTGGGATTAAATTCACAGGAAAATAAACAGTGTAGGTGATGCGGATACCTGACACAAAAACTGATAACAGCTACTGATAGAGACTGGAATAAACAACAAGAGGAAAGAACCACAGAACCCACAGGAGGAAGAGGTCAACCTCCAGAGTCTGAGAGAAGAATGACTCTTAATGGAAGGTGGAGATGAGCTGTGATGAGGCCATAGAAAGATAAATATATATAGAAGATATCATGAACAGCAAAAGTCCTTAGAACGTTGCTGGATATGACTAGTCTAGGTTTCACACAAAAACATCAATTCACACACACACACACACACACACACACACACACACACACACACACACACACACACACACACACTCATTCAAACCACATAAAGCAAAAAAGCAAAAAAAAGTTTGTTCAGAGAAAATATCAAATAAATCAGTATTAAAACATTACACACTAAAAATCTCCAGACCACCCCTCAGCACTGGGCTTAATGATGGTTTGTCTCATCAAATTTGTAAAATAAATACAGCAATAATCAGGATAAATTCATTTCATACTTTCAAAGTAGGTTGTAAGTTAAAACCAACAGCTCTGGTTCACAGTAGAAGACTGTAAATCCAGAGATGCAGAATTTGCAGCTGAAAGTGAGCTTGTCTACAGTTTGATCTGCTTTTAGTATCACTGTCCCTGAGAATTACAAACAACTGATGTCCTCATAATATTATAATAAAGAAAATAATGAAGGTATGAGTTAGTTTTCCATACAGGGATTAAAAAATCTGGACTGGACTAAACTTTCCTTTGAAGGAAGAATCGCCCTTCAGAACGCTGTGTAGTCCAGGACTAGGCTTAATCCCTGTTTGGTAATCCAACCCTATAAGTGCAGCTTCTAAACTGTAAATTAAGAACAAATCTCTCAGTAACAGTGTTTAGAGTCTTAAAGCTGTTTCTTACCTGTTACTGCTGGTAAAGTCGCTCTGACAGTGTCTGTGTTTGTGTCTCCCGGTGTTTGTGTGACTAACGAGGAAACTAAAGCCACTGTAACTCTTTATTTGTTTTATGCTTCTGCATCTTTTTTTGGATGATGATTTACATGAAAACTCTCTGAACTTATGCAAATGAACCCTCGTGCAGTAGAGGCATATTGTAATGGCAGTCAAAAGAAAATTCAAGTGAAGCCATGATTCTGCTGACAGTGACCAACGCCCAACATAAATATCCACACAGTAACTCCTCCTTTACACAGAATAACACATATAACTCATCATACACCTTTTAACCATAAACAACATAAACAGAACATATTTTAACCAGCTCTCTGTGATGCCAGGTCTGAGTTGGCAGCGCGTCCTGTGGCCATCAATCATGCCCCCTCCTTTGAAGTCCACCGTCTGGGTGACCCAACACAGTCCGAACAAAGTTCCTGGGGGTCAGTGAGGGCTGGTGTATTGGAGCAGGTAACACAATGAGGTGTTTGATTGAGCTTAGAACTACCCTGGGGCAGTTTTCTTCTTCCCCCTCCTCTAAACTGTTCTGTGCTGTGTGCTTTCAGTATTGCATTTCAGGAACACATATTCAGTAGAACTGGATGTGTTCGTTCCTCTGTCTAACCTGCATGTTGATAGTGACCACAAGGACACCTGCTTTGCATGGTATGATATGTGATGAAACATTCACAGTTCATACAGAGCTCTTCACAAATATTGGCACCCCTGATAAACATGAGCAAAATGGGCTGTAAAATTCATTCTTTATTGCTTTTTTCCTTTTGATCTTTCATTCAAAATATTAACAAAAATCTAACCTTTATTTGAAACACAATGATTGAAAGAATAAACCTAAATCTTACAATTAAATAAATATTTATTTAGGGATGAGCTCTTACTTGGTCAGCTATGACTTCCTGTTCCACTGGAGTATACATATGTCACGGTCTCCTCTGTCCCTGTCTTCTTCGGTTTTCTTGCCCTGTGTTTTAGCCATGAGCTCTTTTGCCATGTGCTGTGTTTTTGTTTTGGTTCTTGTGCTCCGCCCTTTCCCTGCCTTCTCTATTAGTATCCTCACCTGTCTGTAGTCTCTGTCTCCTCCCTCTCCTAGGTGTTCCCCATTTGTTCTAGCCTATATCAAGCCCTTTGTTTCAGTCAGTGTTTGTCTGGTCTACTCGTCACATTGTCACGTTTGTGTGCCTACATCGTGTTTTGTTTAGACCTTGTAGTTTGTTTCCTTGTTCTTTGTATTTTGCTAGTTTGTTTCAGTTATTAAAGTCTGCTGGCACATATATCCAGCCTCCTTGCTCACTACATACATGACAAAATGTAGGGTGACACAGTGGCCAAATACTCTGCTGGGAAGAAGACATACATCTATACTGACCCCATAAACAATGAGAAGGATGGTTTGAGTGGTCAAAGAATCTCAAAGGGTCACAGCTGGGGAATTGCAGGCCCAGAAGAAGGACCAACAAACTCCAACACCTACAGTTTGGCAAATGTTAATGAAACTTTCAGTGGGTCTGCGTTTTATGGTCAGATGAGATCATAGGAGAGCTTTTTGGAGGCAAACACCAGAGGTGGGTTTGGCCTAGACACAAATATAGCCATGCAGAAAAGGACCTCATCCCCACTGTAAAGTATGGTGGTGGATCTGTGGTGATGTTGGGCTGTGAGGTCCTGGGTAACTTGTTCAGATACACAGTATGATGGACTCCATCAAGTACCAGCAGATACTAAATTAAAACCTGACTGCCTCAGCCAGAAAGCTTAATCTGTGCCTTGGTTGGATCTTTTAGAAGGACACTGATCCAAAACACACCTTAAAATCAACACAAAAATGGTTCACTGACCACAGAACCAAGGCTTTGCCATGGTCATCCCAGTCCCCTGACCTAAACCTCATAGTAAACCTGTGGGATGAGCTGAAGAAGAGCGAACACAGTGTGGACCTCAGAATCTGAAGGATCTGGAGAGATTCTGAATGGAGGGATGGTCTCAGACCTTTGCCTGTGTTCAATGTCCAATTAAGCATTATAGCAAAAGACTAAGAGCTATGATCTCTGCAAAGGGAGGCTGCACAAAGAATTAAATGATCAGGTGCCAACAACTGTGGTGCACATAGATTTGAGAAAAATACTTATTTCATGATCACTGTTTCATCAATAATTGTGGAGGATTCAACTCTTCCTCACTCGAGAGGCCACCCAGGTGCTCGTTCATTCTGTTGTCATCTCAAGGCTTGACTACTGCAACTCTCTCTTGGCTGGCCTTCCTACTAATGCCATCAGGCCCTGCAACCATATTAATGCCATCAGCCCCTGCAACTTATCCAGTATCCAGAATGTAGCAGCACAGCTTGTCTTCAGGCTTCGTAAATTCACTCATGTCACTCCACTGCTCCCTTCATTGGCTTCCTGTAGCTGCACGCATCAGATTTAAAACCCTGATGCCTACAAAGCCAAAATTAGAACAGCCCCTCCCTCCCTAATGGGACTGGTCAAAACATGAACTGTTCCTTGAGCCCTCCAAGCTTCAAGTACAGCTTGGCTTGATCCCCCATCCTGCAAGATGCATGGAATACAAACATCAAGACTTTCTCTGCACTGCCACCCAGGTGGTGAAACGAACTCCCACTGGCTGTCCGAACAGCAGAGTCTCTCACGGTCTTCAAACACAGACTGAACACTCGTCTCTTTATGTCACTTTATGTATTACTGATGTCACCCCATTCCAGTGTGTGTTGGGGTAACCTTCCCTCGTGCTAGATGACTATCATCTTGGATGTACCTGCAGTACATGAAGTAGATGTAGATGGAAGAAGAGTTGCGAGCTTGTCTGGGGGGCACTCATCAGCGCACTGAGTGAGTGTTGAGGAGGAACAAAGCCCAGGTGGACAGACAACATCAGAATCAGAATCGAGCTTTATTGGCCAGGTGTACTTATACATGCAAGCAATATAGTTTTGGTTACAGGAGCTCACAGTGCACAAGTATCTAAAAACATTTACATGTAGTGAATAAAATACAATAAATATAAAACAAAATAAAATATAATAGACAGACCCCTGTGTATGGCTGTTGACCTTGGAGCTTCAGGTTTGAGGAGGGTAGTAAAAAACTTTTGCCCAAGTACACTGGACCATTTAAGATTCTTGATAGAGTAAAGGATCTTACACACAAACTTGATCTGCCTGGTCAGTATCATGATTCACACTACTTTCATGTTTCTCTCCTTAAGCCCGTAGCTTGGGGGCCATTGAATGGAGGGTCCTAGAAGGGTTGTTGTCCCAGAGGCTGCCCTTGGAGTCATTCTTCTGTCCAGAGTCACAGTGGCACCAGTTAAATACCAACAGTAAGAAACACCAAAATACATAACAGTAAGCCAGATTAAGAATAGCCATCTGTGTCAAAGGTAATGATCAAGACAGGACATTGCCAGAGTAAATACAAAAGGTTTACCACAAGATGTAAACCATTCATTTTGAGAGCAATAAAAAACATCATTATCAGTGTGAATGCTATATTTGTGTAAGCTAATGCTAGATGAAATTAACTCGTTAGCTTAAATACATAATTTTCATAGTTTCATAGGCTACATTTTAAATTTTAATATGTATATGTATACAAATGTATACACACACCCACACACACACACACACACATAGACATGTAAATCCATGATGGATGAACCAAAAACTTGGAAAAATATCTGGTTCCATTGATTTACATTAAAAGTAACGTATGTTTTTAACTTCTCCTGTATGTGTATAATGTGTCTAGAAATAAGAAGAAGTAAGTAGTATTTTAGCAGTTAGCACATTTGTAAGCTGATGAGTCACTAGCCAAATATGAAGATGTGCATTAGCCTTTTAAGGTTGATGATCAAAATAAACCCATTATGTATAATAATAATAATAATAAAGGACATAATTCTTCGTATTTTAGAGACTGCACACTGTGTAGCGTATTTCAATACTTTTAGAAGTGTTGGAATACACTACATCAGTTAGTAGTTCACCACAAGCCGTGTAAGACTCAGCAATGAATGTTTAACGATCAGTAAATTGTAAGCAGTTATTCTAAGAAACCATAGTTACTAAATAGTTTTCTAGGCGAATTATATGACTCAGTAGATACTGTTTAGTTAAAAGTGAACTTCCCTAATCATTAGTTCACCATTACCTACTGAGTAATAAACTAGTACTCAATGCTAGTTAATAGTAGTGAAGTGTTACTGCAGCACTATTAATTCATCCCCGCTAAGTTCCTGAATGGTTACCCTTTTAATTACAAAGCAGTATCATAAAGTGTTACTAAGAATCTTCTTAGTTACTTTGCCAAGTGTTTGTGTCACTTGCAAAAGACGTCCCATTTCATCTGTCCAGTGTGCTGCCACCTGGTGGAACCTGATGATATTGCTGTGCCACACCCAGCAGGATTCAGCCAAACCTGCACCAAACAAAATGCTGGCATCCCTCCATGAGCGTGCTCTCTGTAACCAATCTACAATATTTAATTCTTGAACAAGCTTTAGTCTTGAATTTGGGATGCTTTAATTTCCCTCCTTCTTTGTCCATGTTAAGCCGCAACAATGGAGTAACCATATCAAAGTTCCTTCTTGTATTTCTTATGACAAGCATGTCTCTGCAGTTTGAACCCAGGCCTTGACTAGCCTTAATGAAATTTCAAAACCCAGTACTAACTAGGACAAAGGGCCCTGCTGTACAAAATTGGAAAAATCTAAAAAAATGTTACTGTTATTATAAATTTGACTGTTATTATAAATTTGATGCCTGCAACATCCAATCTCTCCTTTCCAAGTTCTCACTCGAAGTTACTGCTGCAAAGTCATCTTTCTACAGAGGGAAACTGGAAGCATTAGCGTCTGATCCACGCAAGCTCTTCAGCATTTTCTCCTCTCTCCTCAACCCTCCTCCTCCCCCTCCACCCTCTTCTCTCACTCCTGAGGATTTTGTCACCTTCTTTGAGGAGAAGGTTGATAGAATCCGCCAGTCTTTTCCCTCTGTCCCCACTCCTTTCACTAGACCTCCTTCTCTCGTTCTCAATCCCTTAAACTGTTTTTCTTCTCTTTCCACAGATGCTGTCCTTCAACTGATCAAATCCAGTAACCCAGCCACCTGCCCACTGGATCCCATTCCATCCGCATTGTTCCAGTCAATCTCCAAGGATCTACTGCCCTTCATCACTTTTCTCATTAACAAGTCCTTGTCATCAGGTGAAGTTCCATCAACTTTGAAGACTGCAAAAGTACGTCCCATCCTGAAGAAGCCCACGCTTGACAGCTCTGATGTCAACAACTACAGATCGGTATCACTCCTTTCTTTAGTTTCATAAATTCTTGAACGTGCAGTATATAATCAACTGTCTCTCTTTCTCACACAGAACCAGCTCCAGGACCCCAACCAGTCTGGCTTCAAACCAGCGCACTCAACAGAAACTACTCCAGCTCCAGTCAGCAAGATCAGCCAGTCTGTCATCTGTCCTGATTCTTCTTGACCTCTCAGCAGCTTTTGACACGGTCAACCACACAATGCTTCTGGACGTCCTCACCAACCTTGGAATCACTGGCTCTGCATGGAAGTGGTTCAAGTCCTATCTGGAGGATCGCTCTTATCAGGTAACATGGAGAGGGTCCACATCCTCTCCATGCAGGCCCTCCACTGGTGTCCCCCAAGGCTTGGTGCTAGGTCCTCTTCTCTTTTCTCTTTACACTAGCTCTCTTGGCAATGTAATATCATCTCATAGCTTCTCTTATCACTGTTATGCTGATGACACTCAACTAATGGTTTCTTTCTCACCCTCTGACACCCAGGTTTCCAGTCGGATCTCATCATGTCTGTCTGACATCTCTTCATGGATGGCAGCTCACCACCTGAAGCTCAATCCTAGCAAGACTGAGCTGCTATTCATCCCTGCAGCTACAGGTCCTCATCATGATCTTGCCATCTCATTCGAGAACTCTCTGATTGTCCGGTCTGTAGAGGCAAGAAGTCTTGGTGTGGTTCTGGATGGCCAGTTATCGTTCTCGACTCACATTGCGAACCTAACTCGGTCATGCAGATTTCTCCTGTTCAACATCTGGAGGATCCGACCCTTTCTCTCTCGAGAGGCAACCCAGGTGCTAGTGCAGTCTCTTGTCATCTCAAGGCTTGACTACTGCAACTCGCTCTTGGCTGGTCTTCCAATGCAGGCCATCAGGCCTCTGCAACTCATCCAGAATGCAGCAGCACGACTCATCTTCAATCTCCCAAAGTTCAGCCACGTCACCCCACTGCTGCGCTCCCTTCACTGGCTTGCTGTAGCTGCACGCATCAGATTTAAAACCCTTATGCTTGCCTACTAAGCCAAAAATGGACCAGCCCCTCCCTACTTGATGGCAATGGTCTAATCTTGAACTGTACCACGAGCCCTTCGAGCTTCGAGTACAGCTCGGCTTGACCCGCCATCCTTCAAGATGTGTGGAAGGCAAGCATCAAGACTGTTCTCTGTACTGGCACCCAGGTGGTGGAACGAACTCCCACTGGCTGTCCGTACAGCAGAGTCTCTCGCTGTCTTCAAACGCAGACTGAAGACACACCTGTTTATACAGCACTTAAATGAGCACTGAATTTCACTAAGTGTCAATGATTTTCTGATTCTAGCAGTATCTGAGCTCAGGACTGGCTTTCTCTCTAACCTATTGATAACTAGCGAAGATACTTTCTCTGGATAGACAAAGCACTTTTTGTAAGTCGCTCTGGATAAGAGCATCTGCTAAATAGTGTAAATGTAAATGTAAACATGATTCAAAACAGTTGAGACAAGGGACTGTTTACCACTGTGTTACATCACCTTTCCTTCTAACTATGTTCAGTAGTTCAGTTGCTTGGAAACTGAGAATTCTAATTGTTGTAGTTGTGAAAGTAGATTTTTTTTTTCCAGTCTTGCTTGAGATAACACTTCAGCTACTGAACGGTCCAGGGTCTGCTTTGTCGTATGTTGTGTTGGCACTCCTTAAATGTGCCACATTGTTTTCAGGCTGGCTAGTCTACAACCTGCACTGTTTTACTACAACGTCACGCTGTTGTAATGTGCAGAATGTGGTTTGGCATTCTCCTTCTGACACCAGCAGGGACATGCGTAAGAAGACGCTGTCTAGAGGGCAGCATGTGTTACTCCAACATACATGTGCACCCCTCGGTATTAATGAACAGATGTGCAAGTTACCCACTTTGTGTCAGTCCATCGCAAACAAGCTTTAGCCCAGAGAAGTCGGCGGCATTTCTAGATCATATTGATCTGATTGTAATTGTGAAAAAATAGAACACAAATGGATTAAATAACTTATTTTAGTGGATATTCCATGATTGACAACATGTGGTTTGATGCTCTGTAGCAGCCATTGTGTAAAATGCATTTTTCATTAAAAATGTCTCTGGTGTTACCTTTCTTATGTGTAACACCAATGAGGATCAGTAACACCAGCGACTCCTTTGGAGAGATAGAAAAGTGTACGTTTCCCAGATGATGATCCAGGTGCAAGGTAATCTTTCCGTACAATAGGAGAGCTTAAGCTTCTCTGGTTCAACTTCTATCATATGTAATAGAGAGCAGCCACAACAACAGTTAAACAAGTTTTGAGAAACTACACTAGAGTTTATTTAACTAAAGACAGTAAAAGGACAGTAACATATAGTTCAGAAATCAGTAATAAGAATTATACACCAAACCAGCCAAACAGTCCATTACTGGAAACCAATAATGCAGTGCTTTAGCCTCTACTAAGAAAAATAAAAGGTTTATGTTCTTTACCTTAGTTTAGAAAACTAAATAGAGATAAAGGAAAAGGTATTTAAATGATAAACAGCACATATACACTTTATAAACTTGAGATCATTGTGAAAGTGAGAACATTTGTCATTTGGAAGCTGTTTGTGGGTATTTGTGAATGCTTATAATTTATAGACAGTTATTTACATAAAAGTGAGAACATGTGAGCATTAAAGAGGCCTCCTAAAATAAGTAAAATATTTCATAGTTTCACAACCCCCATCTTCTTCTCTAGACATGCTGAAGCAGACAGGACTTTGTGCCCAATATAACAAGTGTAATAAAAGGAAAGAACTATATAGCCATATCTATGTGTGCAGATATCGTATGCTTCCACTGTGAGCCTGAGATTGTTTTTCTTTTTTATTGGCATGAAAGAACAGCAGCCTCAGTGATATATGAATATTAGGATTACTAAATGGAAACATTGTATTTCTGTGTCAAAGAATGCATCAAAAGCATAATGTAGAAGAAATATCGATCAAATATCATTATGATCCTGAACTATGAGGATCCATTTGAACAGCCTGCATCCTCTTCTAGATCTCTAAAAAGAAACAAATAACATCAATCAGTATTTATTTCACAATCAATATTTAGCTGTTGACAGATATATAATCCTCTGTCTCACCTTCAGAGGTGGTGCAGATGAAGTTGAGTCTCTGATTCTCTGGCAGACTGACCCACTTCTTACTTCCAGACTGCACCGCTCCTGTTCTTTCTCCTCCACTGCAGTCTTCCACCCCTGTCCCGTTCTCCGGAGCCCAGTTCTGGTAGCAGATCGACACTCCGCTCACCCAGAACCAGAAGCTCAGGGTGCAGGTGTGACGCAGACCCATCCACACATTAGCAGTGGAGGCATAAAAAACAGCTGTTTCCACCCAGTTCTGAATTTCCTCAGTGTGAACAGAGACCAGATCCACATGATTCTCTCTGCAGTAGCTCAGAGCTTCTCTCCACGTCTTGGTCTGATTAATCAGGACGAGTGGAAGCTCTGCAGAAGAGGGAGAACAACGATTTAACCAATAGATCACATAGTTCAGTTATGTCTGTGCATTTCTTGTTTAAAATATAATACAGGTAGTTGTGTTTGTATCTGTATGTGTTTCTCTGTATGATTGAGTCTCTTTTTAAATCCACTATTCAAATCTATATTAAAGTACTGAGTCAGTGAAACTGCTTTAAACATTAAAAAGTGAATGTACTGGATGTGTAACAGATGTACTGCTGTTCATCATCTTTTATGACTCACTTTTATAGCAGACAAATGGATTTTTGTTACTGCGGCCTGCATCATTCCACCTGTATCCTGCTTCACTCCATAATTCTCCACAGTTATCAGTGCCAGGGTTGTTTGGCTCATTACTGTTCCAGTTGCTGTATGAGAAGTTACTCCCATCTGACCAGATCCAGCACTAAAGACAAATTAATACCTGATCAGTAAATCTTTTCTGCATTCATTACTCAATATCATACTAAATAATCATTCTTACAGTCCTATGGGGATTTTAGTGAGTAGCTGTTGTATTGTGGGGGTTTATGGGGTCTGTGATATTGCAGGAGAGGGTTTGTATTACAAATGAAGAAACAAATTAATGAACAAATAAATGTTTCTGTTTTTCATATCATGAATTATTTGAATTATTTCAGGTATCCGGTTTTTAAGTACCCAACACACAACACTGCAGAATATTGTTCTTGCTGGACGTGCCTGAACCTAGTTACAGTTGCTAAGCTATGACTGGACAATCAGTATGTAGAGGAGGGGCTTTTTAGTGAAGGGTCCTTTTTTGATATTTCAAATATTGCAGCACTAAACCTCTTTTACCAAGTAAAAGGCAGGTTTAACAGTTGTAAATTTACCAGCTGTGAAACTGACACTCATTCATCTCACTGTATTAAACAAAGAAATACAATGAAAATAAACAAGAATGAAGAAAAGATCTAAAATGTATTTCTCTATATTTGCTGTATCTTAGGAGATACTTCTCCTGATCCAAGGCTCAGGACAGCATACCCTATTGACCCCATCTGTCGGCAGCCCTGCAGCAGCTCCTTGGAAACACTAGAAATGTTTAAGAGAAAAAAAAAAAAACTATGTAGAAAGAACATATAATAAACTCTTATGTTAAATTGGATACATTTTAGATAATTAAATAAAAGTCTAATGTATTGTGTAATGGTATTTAAAACACTGTGGTTTAAAATGTATCAAAGATATGTCAATATTATTTATCAATATCAATATCTATCAATAATTAAATAATAATAAACAGATGTAGCTGTAAGTATTTATATATATATATATATATATATATATATATATATATATATATATATATATATATAAGGGTGAAATTATATTCAGACAATAATTTATAAGAACTACACAAAGCAAAGATACATCAAGTGATGCACAGTCATCTGTTTGGCATTTTATATATTAACAGTTAACAATATTAACTGAAATAAGTTTAGGAGAGATTAAAGCCTACATATCAAACAGGTTCATGAATTGTTCTCTCTTTCCTGCTTACAGTGTTGTCCACATTTCGTTTCTGCTTCAGTCCGATCCAGAAATAGCCTGTTTTCTTGTTGAGAACAGCTATCAGAGCGTCCATTTCCTCTTGACTCTCAATGGTTGCCAAGGCAGTGAAATTCTCTCTGCAGTATTTCTGAGCTTCATCCCAGGTCTTACTATCTACCACCACATGAAACTGACGAGTCCCACAGAAGGAGAGAGTCCACAGAGCTGTAGAGATGAAAGCTCTCATCAGCATGACAGTACAGTAATGAAGCAGCAGAGAGTTTTACAGATGATCATGAAGCTACACTGACCTGAGAAAAGCAGGATCAGATACAAAGCTGAACTCATGACTGTGGAGAACAAGAGAGACACAGTTCACACATTAAACACCTCAACAGTCTTTACTACCAGTACATCAGATCACGCTGATTAAGAGACATTACATTTAGTCATAGTACCATGATCGAGTTAAAGCCCTAATCAGGGATCTGAGAAGAACAGAGAGTCTCTAGATTGAGAGCTCTTAAGGAAAAGAAAGGTGATGCATTTAAATGTTGAAATTCTGAATGGAAAAACCAACAATCACACAAGAAACAAATATTTTTATTTTATATGAAAACAGCAGATATAAAAGTAATATTTTAACTTCAAGTAGAATAGAAGAATTGTATTTATGTATGAATGTATAAATGTATGTCAATGTGTTCCTCTCTAATAAATTATTATTCGTAGTAATAAATTATGTAGTAAAGGAAGAAAGAAAAAAAAAAACATGTTTGTTCAGAGAAAATATCAAATAAATCAGTATTAAAACATTACACACTAAAAATCACCGGACCACCCCTCAGCACTGGGCTTAATGATGGTTTGTCTCATCAAATTTGGAAATTACATACAAGAATAATCAAGATAAGTTCATTTAATACTTTCTAAGTATCTTGTAAGTTAAAACCAACAGCTCTGGTTCACAGTAGAAGACTGTAAATCCAGAGATGCAGAATTTGCAGCTGAAAGTGAGCTTGTCTACAGTTTGATCTGCTTTTAGTATCACTGTCCCTCAGAATTACAAACAACTGATGTCTTCATAATATTACTTACTTATTATTAGTTTTCCAGACAGGGTTTAAGAATCTGGTCTGGACTAAACTTTCCTTTGAAGGAAGAATCGCCCTTCAGAACGCTGTGTAGTCCAGGACTAGGCTTAATCCCTGTTTGGTAATCTGACCCTATAAGTGCAGCTTCTAAACTGTAAATTAAGAACAAATCTCTCACTAACAGTGTTTAGAGTCTAAAAGGGTTTCTTACCTGTTACTGCTGGTAAAGTCGCTCTGACAGTGTCTGTGTTTGTGTCTCCTGGTGTTTGTGTGACTAACGAGGAAACTAAACTATAACTCTCTCTTTGTTTTTTTGGATGATGATTTACATAAAAACTCTCTGAACTTATGCAAATGAACCCTCGTGCAGCGCTGACAGTGACCAACCCCAACATAAATATCTATACAGTAACTCTTCCCTTACCCAGAATGACACATAACTCATCATTCACCTTTTAACCAACATACACAGAACATCTTTAAGCAGCTCTCTGTGATGCCAGGTCCGAGTTGGCAGTGCGCCCCATGGCTGTCACTCCTGCCCCCTCCTTAAAAGTCCACTGTCCGGGTGACCAAACACAGTCCATACAAAGTTCCTGGGGGTCAGTGAGGGCTGGTGTATTGGAGCAGGTAACACAATGAGGTGTTTGATTGAGCTTAGAACTACCCTGGGGCTGTTTCCTTCTTCCCCCTCCTCTAAACTGTTCTGTGCTGTGTGCTTTCAGTATTGGATTTCAGGAACACATATTCAGTAGAGCTGGATGTGTTCGTTTCTCTTTCTAATGTAACAGGTTTTGCAATTTTTAATATTATTATTGCTAGAACCTTATGAGAGGGTGTGAGGTAACCTGGATTTATTTGAAGTCTACAGACCAGGGCAAGAGAGAGAAACGCTCGCACCAAGGATGCTTCAGAAAAGGGAATTTATTGGCTAAATATCAAACTACTTTTGGACTACATTCAATGATAAACAATAGAAAATAAAACAAGAAAACAAAACAAAACAAAGTGATAGTAATGAGAGAAAAATTAGCTCGAGTAAGTTAGAGTGATTCACGGCTAAATGGTATGAGGCAGTGTGGTTTGGGGAGCCGCTTGGGAGAGCCTCTAGAGAATTAACCTAAGCCTGGACGGGAAGAACTATATGGCTGGATGTACCTATAAAAGTTCTCTTATTAAATAAATTGGCGTCAGGGCCCTGACTGCAAATTGATGGACCAGCTTACATTGGAGTCGGGGGCTGACTTCAGGCAGGGTCGTTTCAGGACAGACTCGATCGAAGGCTGGAGCTCACGCGGTGGTTCCTCTCCTCGCTGGCCATGGATGCTGCATCTCCGTGCGGGCACGCGCCTTCCCGTCAGTGATTGGGTAGAGGCGTCTCGTGGCCGTCTGACGGTGAAGCTTGGGCAGCCTTTCGATGGTCGATCTGTTCACAGATCAGTGTGTGGCTCTGGGTGCGATGCTGGGTCTCCGTGGCGTCAGAACCGCTCCCACTCCGCTGGCGAGGTTCAGGTTGCAATCATGGTTCTGAGGCTAACTACCTCTCTTTAGCAGAATCGGAAGTTATGGATATATCCTCCCTGGCCAGACAAGAAATATCCACCTTCCTTCTCTGAGGGTGGTTCAAACTTAAGGTGTGTAGACGAACAGGCAAGTTACAAAACAAACAAAGGTTTCAGATCTGAAAATTTAGCGTCCTAATACTTCTGAGCTGTCTTTCTGACCTAGGCCGGCACAAACTTAGAAACTTTTGTTGCGAACGCAGGAACCCAACCAAATTTGCGGTGCACTCTGGTTTTGCTCGGCTGGAGGCCCTACCCTTTGGAGATGGTGCCAGAGTGCTGATAGGTTCTCCTCACCTAAGGTTCTCCGATTGGTTGTGCATAATTTGAGGAATGCCTTCCCCAAAATCACTGCCTCCTTTGTTTCAGCTAGTTTAAATAAAGAAAAAGAACATTTCTATATCATTCAATTGGTTTAACTTTCAAAATTAAGGAATGAACAATTAGGATATTCAGGCATGTTTCTAAGAGAGAGTTTAACCCTTGTTACCTGATACACAATACATGTCAAAGAACACAGGTACTATTTGCCTATCATCCCTGAACATGACCCAATGCATGAAAAAAATAAAATCAACAATAAAAGGAAAGGAACAAAGGAGGAAAAGAAAAGAAAACCACATTCAGGATACATATTGGTCAATGGTCTAAACTCATAGCAATTAAATGGTTGGGTCTGACTGTTATCAAAGTTATAATCTACGTATTTCTAGCAATTAATAGTAGAAAAAGATACAGGTAATATTTAGGTACTACCCAACAACAAGATTAATACAACAAGTAGTATTACTTACAGATCATAGAAACTTTGATAATCAAGCAGACAAAGCACAAAGTTTCTTGCTTTCTTATAAGCACAAGTCCTTATGGTGGTGATGCGGTAATTTGCGGTTTCACCCCTTGGGGGTGCTGTGGGTCCATGCTTGAGATCCCTAGGGAATTTAGAAAGTTGGAATTTTGCCGTCCAAAGTCGTACAAATTCCGTTTTGGTATGTCTAGTTTAGTTAAAAAGAGTTCTAACGAATGGTTGCAGTTTGGAGTGGACATATACCTTAGAAATCTACTTTCTGTTACTTAAGATAAAAAATTGTCCACAGTACTTTGGAGAGCCATCTGCCACATTCCAGAGGAGGTGTCCTGTTTTTCTTCTGGGTAAATTTTGCTAAGTCTGGGTTGGGGTATCAAGCCTGACAGATTTACACCTCCAACCAGTCTTGCTGGAGACATAAGGCCCTTAACTTTGGGTAAACACTCAGCTGGAGGTGAAATTCCGGCCATTGTTCGCTACACTAACCTGCATGTTGATAATGACCATCTTCTTTGCATGGTCTGATATGTGATGAAACATTCACAGTTCATACAGAGCTCTTCACAAATATTGGCACCCCTGATAAATATGAACACAATGGGCTGTAAAATGGGGCGGCACGGTGGCACAGTGGGTAGCGCTGTCGCCTCACAGCAAGAATGGCCTGGGTTCGATTCCCGGCTGGGCGACCAGGGTCATTTCTGTGTGGAGTTTGCATGTTCTCCCCGTGTCTGCGTGGGTTTCCTCCGGGTACTCCGGTTTCCTCCCACAGTCCTAAAAACATGCAGTCAGGCTGATTGGACATACTAAAATTGCCCCTAGGTGTGAATGTGTGTGTGTGGATGTATATGTCTGTTTGTCTGCCCTGTGATGGACTGGCGGCCTGTCCAGGGTGTATCCTGCCTTCCGCCCGATGACAGCTGGGATAGGCTCCAGCACCCCACCGCGACCCAGAAGGATAAGCGGTTTAGATGATGGATGGATGGATGGGCTGTAAAATATGTACAATCTTTCAAAATATTAAATAGACTATAAAATATATTTTAATATATGTGGCACCCTTACAAATTCTTTTGTGGAAAATTGTTATGACCCTATGGGTCATAATGTTTTTTTTTTCTTGTAGTGTGTCTGTATTGATTATGAAGGGTCACAGCTGGGGACTTGTCAAGGCCCAACAAACTCCAACACCTACAGTTTGGCAAATGTTAGTGAAACTTTCAGTGGGTCCATGTTTTATGGTCAGATGAGATCACAGTAGAGCTTTTTGGAGACAAACACCAGAGGTGGGTTTGGCGTAGACACAAATATAGCCATGCCGAAAAAGACCTCATCCCCACTGTAATGGTGGTGGATCTGTGATGTTGTGGGGCTGTGAGGTCCTGGGCAACTTGTTCAGACACACAGTATGCTGGACTCCATCAAGTACCAGCAGATACTAAATCAAAATCTGACTGCCTCAGCCAGAAAGCCTGGGCCTTGGTTGGATATTCTAGCAAGACACTGATCCAAAACTTAAAATCACCTTAAAATCAACACAAAAATAGTTCACTGACCCCTGAGTTAAGGTTTGGCCGTGGTCACCCTAGTCCCCTGACCTAAACCCTATAGAAAACCTGTGGGATGAGCTGAAGACGAGAGTCCACAGTGTGGAACCAAGAATCTGAAGGATCTGCAGAGATTCTGATTGGAAGAATGGTCTCAGACCTTTGCCTGCTTTCTCCAGTCTCGTTAAGCATTATAGGAGAAGACCCAGAGCTGTTATCTCTGCAAAGGGAGGCTGCGCAAAGAATTAAATGAATGCGTGCCAACAACCGTGGCACACATATATTTAAGAAACATTTATTTCATGCTAATATTTTTTCTATCAATTATTGTGGAGGATTCGACCCTTTCTCTCTTTAGAGGCTACTCAGGTGCTGTTCAGGCTCTTGTTAAGTAACTCGCTCTTGGCTGGTCTTCCTATGCGGCCATCAAGCCTCTGCAACTCATCCAGAATGTAGCAGCACAGCTTGTCGTCAGTCTTCCTAAGTTCACTCATGTCACTCCACTGGCTTCTTGTAGCTGCCTGCATCAGATTTAAAGCACTGATGCTTGCCTACCAAGCCAAAATTTGACCAGCCTCTCCCTACCTTGTGGCACTGAGCTTCAAGTACAGCTCGGCTTGACCCACCATCCTTCAAGACGCATGGAAGACGAGCATCAAGACTTTTTTTTTCGTCCTGGCATCCAGGTGGTGGAACAAACTTCTACTGGCTGTCCAAACAGCAGAGTCTCTCATGGTCTTCAAACTGATTGAAGACTCATTTCTTTATACAGCACTTAAGTGAGCATTCATCTAAGTACTTACTGAAACGTATTATTTTGCACTGATACTGTGTCTAGTTCTGTATCCTTTTTTCTATGTATCAGCACAGACTTTTGTTTCTAGCAGTATCTGAACTCAGGGGTAAGATGTACTCTAACCTATTTGTACTAGCTAGGATACATTCTCTGAGTAGACATCAAAGCACTTTGTATGTCTGCTAAATGCCATAAATGTAAATGAAGGTTAGATTTTTGTTAATATTTTGAGTTAAAGATCAAAAGGATAAGCGATGAGGAATGTTTTTTTTTTACAGCCTGTTTTGCTCTTGTGGGATAGGCTCCAGCACCCTCCTGCAACCCAGCAGGATAAGCGGTTTAGAAAATGTGTGTGTGTGTGTGCGTTGCTGTTGTTTATCTGGGCTGCCGGTATCTGTGGAGGGCACTATAATAATAATAATAATAATAATGAACTTTATTTACATAGTAAAAGTGTTGGAAATGTCACAAAGTTCTGGAAATTTTCGAATGGCATAAAGAAATTAAGCTCACAGAACCATTTATAGATCATGTTCTAGACTTCCT